TTTCATCTTCAAAACATTGTTTATTTTTCTAAGGTACTATTTTGGTCCTATTAACATCTTTAAGGTCATTTTTAGAGCTATTACATTTTAAGATCTTTTCTGAGAAATTAGTCGAGACTGTATCTTTTGTAATCATTAAGAAACAGTTGTATTCATAAAATATGATTTTCCATATTTGCAGATATTGTAATGTATCATGGGGTCTCGTGGCTATATGGAGGAGTATGACTTGAATCAGAAAATTGCAGGTATGACTCCTGCCAAAGTCGGAGGTATATCATTTATCTTCTAGTTATAATTTTCTTTACATGAGTGTTTTTTGGTCTTTAAAGTCATTTTTAGAGCTATTACATTTTAAATAATGTAAAAGAAACCAGTCAAAAATTGTATCTTTTGCAATCATTAAGATACAGCTATATTCTTAAAGTATAATTTTTCCATAGCTATAACTATTTCAATGTAACATGGGGTCTCGTGGCCAAATGGACAAGGCGTCCGACTACGAATCAGAAGATTGCAGGTTCGACTCCTGCCGAGGTCAGAGGTACATCATTTTATGTTCTAATCATACTTTTCTTTTCATGAGTATTTTTGGTACAATAAATATCCTTAAATTCATTTTTACAGCTTTTACATTATAAAATATTTTAAAACAATTTGTCGAAAACTGTATCCTATGTAATCATTAAGAAACATATATATACTTAAATTAGAGTTTATCATATTTGCAGCTATGTCAGAGAATCATGGGGCCTCGTTGCTAAATAGGCAAGGCGTCTTACTACAAATCAGAAAATTGAGGTTCGACTCCTGCCGAGGCCGGATGTAAACTTTTTCATCTTCTAAACATTGATTTTTTTCATAAGTAATATTTTGGTCCAATTAACATCTTTAAAGTCATTTTTAGAGCTATTACATTTTAAACCTTTTCTGAGAAATTAGTTGAAAACTGTATCTTTTGTAATCATTAAGAAACAGTTGTATTCATAAAATATAATTTTCCGTATTTGCAGATATTGTAATGTATCATGGAGTCTTGTGGCTATATAGAGAAAGAGTATGACTTGAATCAGAAGATTGCAGGAATGACTCCTGCCGTGGTCGGAGGTACATCATTTATCTTCTAGACATAATTTTCTTACATAAGTGTTTTTTGGTCTTTAAAGTCATTTTTAGAGCTATTACATTTTAAATAATGTAAAAGAAACCAGTCAAATATCGTATCTTTTCTAATTTTTAAGATACAGCTATATTCTTAAAGTATAATTTTTGCATATTTATAACTATTTCAATGCAATATGGGGTCTCGTGGCCAAATGGACAAGGCGTCTGACTTCGAATCAGAAGATTGCGGGTTCGACTCCTGCCGAGGTCGGATGTAAACCTTTTCATCTTCAAAACATTGTTTTTTTGTCTAAGGTACTATTTTGGTCCTATTAACATCTTTAAAGTCGTTTTTAGAGCTATTACATTTTAAGATCTTTTCTGAGAAATTAGTCGAAAACTGTATCTTTTGTAATCATTAAGAAACAATTGTATTCATAAAATATAATTTTCCATATTTGCAGATATTGTAATGTATCATGGAGTCTTGTGGCTATATAGAGAAAGAGTATGACTTGAATCAGAAGATTACAGGAATGACTCCTGCCGTGGTCGGAGGTCAATAATTTATCTTCTAGACATAATTTTCTTACATAAGTGTTTTTTGGTCTTTAAAGTCATTTTTAGAGCTATTACATTTTAAATAATGTAAAAGAATCCAGTCAAAAATTGTATCTTTTGCAATCATTAAGATACAGCTATATTCTTAAAGTATAATTTTTCCATATCTATAACTATTACAATGTAACATGGGGTCTCGTGGCCAAATGGACAAGGCGTCTGACTACGAATCAGAAGATTGCAGGTTCGACTCCTGCCGAGGTCAGAGGTACATCATTTTATGATCTAATCATACTTTTCTTTTCATGAGTATTTTTCGTACAATAAATATCCTTAAATTCATTTTTACAGCTTTTACATTATAAAATATTTTAAAACAATTTGTCGAAAATTGTATCCTATGTAATCATTAAGAAACATATATATACTTAAATTAGAGTTTATCATATTTGCAGCTATGTCAGAGAATCATGGGGCCTCGTTGCTAAATAGACAAGGCGTCTTACTACAAATCAGAAAATTGAGGTTCGACTCCTGCCGAGGCCGGATGTAAACTTTTTCATCTTCTAAACATTGTTTTTTTTCATAAGTAATATTTTGGTCCAATTAACATCTTTAAAGTCATTTTTAGAGCTATTACATTTTAAGATCTTTTCTGAGAAATTAGTCGAAAACTGTATCTTTTGTAATCATTAAGAAACAATTGTATTCATAAAATATAATTTTCCATATTTTCAGATATTGTAATGTATCATGGGGTCTCGTGGCTATATACAGAAAGATTATGATTTGAATCAGAAGATTGCAGGTATGACTCCTGCCGTGGTCGGAGGTACATCATTTATCTTCTAGACATAATTTTCTTTACATGAGTGTTTTTTGGTTTTTAAAGTCATTTTTAGAGCTATTACATTTTAAATAATGTAAAAGAAACCAGTCAAATATTGTATCTTTTCTAATTTTTAAGATACAGCTATATTCTTAAAGTATAATTTTTGCATATTTATAACTATTTCAATGCAATATGGGGTCTCGTGGCCAAATGGACAAGGCGTCTGACTTCGAATCAGAAGGTTGCGGGTTCGACTCCTGCCGAGGTCGGATGTAAACCTTTTCATCTTCAAAACATTGTTTTTTTGTCTAAGGTACTATTTTGGTCCTATTAACATCTTTAAAGTCGTTTTTAGAGCTATTACATTTTAAGATCTTTTCTGAGAAATTAGTCGAAAACTGTATCTTTTCTAATCATTAAGAAACAATTGTATTCATAAAATATAATTTTCCATATTTGCAGATATTGTAATGTATCATGGAGTCTTGTGGCTATATAGATAAAGAGTATGACTTGAATCAGAAGATTGCAGGAATGACTCCTGCCGTGGTCGGAGGTACATCATTTATCTTCTAGACATAATTTTCTTACATAAGTGTTTTTTGGTCTTTAAAGTCATTTTTAGAGCTATTACATTTTAAATAATGTAAAAGAAACCAGTCAAAAATTGTATCTTTTGCAATCATTAGTATACAGCTATATTCTTCAAACAAAATTTTTCATCTAGGCAGCAGCTTCCGTGTACCAATGGGCCTTCTGGCTAAATGGAAAAGGCGTCTGACTTCGAATCAGAAGATTGCAGGTTCGACTCCTACCGAGGTCGGAGGTTCATGTTTTCATCTTCTAGTCATACTTTTCTTTTTATGAGTGTTTTTTGGTCGAATAAACATCTTTAAATTCATTTTTAGAGCTATTAAATTTTAAAATGTTTTAAAATAAATTAGTCGACAGTTGGTTTTTTTAATGTTTAAGATACAGCAATATTCATAAAACAGAATTTTTCTTCTAGGCAGCAGCCTCACTGTATTAAAGGGTCTCGTGGCTGAATGGAGACGCCGTCTGACTTCGAATCAGAAGAATGCAGGTTCGACTCCTGCCGAGGTCGGAGGTACATCATTTTATGTTCTAATCATACTTTTCTTTTCATGAGTATTTTTGGTACAATAAATATTCTTAAATTCATTTTTAGAGCTTTTACATTTTAAAATATTTTAAAATAATTTGTCGAAAACTGTTTCCTTTGTAATCATTAAGAAACATATATATACTTAAATTAGAATATACCATATTTGCAGCTATGTCAGAGAGTCATGGAGCCTAGTGGCCAAATAGACAAGGCGTTTGACTATGACTCAGAATATTGAGGTTTACTCCTGCCGAGGTCTGATGTAAACCGTTTCATCTTCTAAACATTGTTTTTTTTTCATAAGTAATATTTTGGTCCTATTAACATCTTTAAAGTCATTTTTAGAGCTATTACATTTTAAAATCTTTTCAGATAAATTAGTCGAAAACTGTATCTTTTGTAATCATTAAGAAACAGTTGTATTCATAAAATATAATTTTCCATATTTGCAGCTATTGTAATGTATCATGGGGTCTTGTGGCTATATGCAGGAGTATGACTTGAATCAAAAGATTGCAGGTTTGACTCCTGCATAGGTCGGAGGTACATCATTTTATCTGCTAGGCATAATTTTCTTTACATGAGTGTTTTTTGGTCTTTAAAGTCATTTTTAGAGCTATTACATTTTAAATAATGTAAAAGAAACCAGTCAAAAATTGTATCTTTTGAAATCATTAAGATACAGCTATATTCTTCAAACAGAATTTTTCATCTAGGCAGCGGCCCCCGTGTGCCAAAGGGCCTCGTGGCTAAGTGGGGAAGGCGTCTGACTTCGAATCGGAAAATTGCAGGTTTGTCTCCTGCCGAGGTCGGAGGTACATCTTTTCATCTTCTAAACATACTTTTGTTTTCATGAGTATTTTTTGGTCCAATAAACATTTTAAATTTATTTTAAGAGCTTTTGCATTTGAAAATGTTTTAAAATAAACTTGTCGAAAACTGTATCTTTTGTAATCATTAAGAAACAGTTATATACTTAAAATTTTTTCCATGTTTGCAGCTGTCTCAGCGAATTATGGGAACTCCTGGCCAAATGGACAAGGCGTCTGACTACGAATCAGAATCTTGCAGGTTCAAAATCTGCCGAGGTTGGATGTAAACCTTTTTATCTTCTAAACACACTTTCCTTTTGATAAGTTATATTTTTGTCCTATATTTGTACTTAAAATAGAATTTTTCATATTTGCAGCTTTCTCAGTTTATGAAAGGGCCTCATGGCCAAATGAACAAAGCGTTTTACTACGAATCAAAAAGTTGGAGGTTCGACTCTTGCCGAGGTTAGAGACACCTCTTTTTATGCAATTTATAAAAAGGTGACAACAAGTTAGTCAAAAGAATATTAGCCAGTTTCTATAAAATCATGATTACAAAAGCATGTATTTTTATTTTTTTATTTGCAAGGTTTTTGTGTTTTGAAGTTTAGTATAGTATTCTATATGACAGAGTAACAGTAAAAATGAGAGAACAAAACTTATAAAATTGCAGTTGAAGACGTTCCAAATTCATGGCTAGAAAGTCTTATATATTATTAATAAAGAACTGTTTTACAATGCAATAACTAAATTTTTCCCATAAACAGCTTCAAATAATTTTTAGAGCTTTTAAATTGATAAGGTTTGTAAAAAATATATGTCAAAAACTGTATCTTTTAAAATGATTAAAGAACAGCTATGTTCTTAAAACTAGAATTTTTCGTATTTGCAGCTGTATGAGTGAAGCAAGGGGCCTTGTGGCCAAATGGAGAAGACTACGAATCAGAGTTGTAGCCTCTCAAAATTGATAATAAATACCATACAGTTTATTTTAAGGAACGTACTTAGAATGCACAATTTATATCATAATTACCAGCTATTTGAATTTTTAAATCCCCCAAAAAGCAGTTTTCTGCATAACTCAAAAATACACAAAAGATTGTAAGCCATGCTAACCATTTAGTTGCAATGTGCTTTATAGGTCTGAAACAATCAGTGTGCATTGAGTCATCTATTTGTAAATATTACTTTTTAGTTTCGCGGAAATTAGCATTCAGATGACATCACAAGGCAGCAAAGGTCGACTGCGAAAAATTTACAGTTTTGTATTCACGTAACTAGATAGCCACGTTATATATTATTTCTGCTGTAGTTCGTATACGTTGATAGGCTCATTTGGCGAACACAAATTCACTAGCAACAAAAGAATTATTCCAGCACAACATGCTACAACAACAATGCCATTTGTGAAGACTATGAACCAAACAAACGATTCGTCGTGGTATTTCGACACTCTCAACAAAGCCAAAGAGATGAAAGATAGAAGTAAAACAGCACAAACGACCACATCTGCTAATGTTTCAAACTCAAACTTGTTAGAGTACTGTTTGTAGGGGTGGCAAATTAAATTGATCACAATAAACATCAACAAGAGAAGTGTGACCAAAATGATTTGAGCAGATGAAGATGTTTTGACGACAGTTAATAAAATAGCCAAAACTAGACGTCGTAAAAGATAGAGCAATGGAAAATAGCGCCGATATTTCGGTTTGAATTCTTCGTACAAAGGTTTTAACCAGACGTGGGAATTTTTGTCATATTTCCCATCTTTGTCCACGTTTCCCCACAGCAATGGAAGGAACACAAAGAAAGGTACCGAAATAACAAATACAACGAGCGAGCAATAGCCTAAAATGCGCAAACAATCGAATGAAAAACCATGACAATCTAACCAAGGTTTCATTTTTAAATACATCAGCCCATCTCGATGTTCGCACGGCCAAGAAGCATAGAGAGTCTTTTCACTGATGGGAAAGTAAAAAAACAAAATGACTTGAACTGTCAAATACTTGCACGTGGTACTTTTCAAATAAGAAATTCGCCGAAAGGAACAAACAACTTTACCAAAGACATACGAGCACCAAATCACCAACACAATTCCAACTGGTACAGATAGAGTGATGGCAAAGTTCCATTCGGGACGATTTACGTTTTCAAAATGACATACTAAGTCATCAAGGTCGAAATTAAATATCCTGGTAATTTGGTATTTCAAAGAAGCTATCTTTCTTGGCCAAATGTTTGCGTCGGTAAACATGGCGTCTAAAGACTGGAAATAGAAAACAGCTATGTACAGAAAACTCTCCAAACCATCGCTCGACCCCGATAAAAATATAGCCAAAATCCAAATAGAAGCAAGTATCGCATAAAACCAGCCTGTTACCACCTGAAGTCCATGTAGAACAACAAGTGCGACCGAGAAAAGAAACGCTAGAACTAATGTCAACGTTTTAAAATACCTGTAAAGAACTATAAGACCTATTACAATTAAAAAAGCCGGGAAGAAAGCAACCGTCAAACTAACTGGAAAATTACTAAAGAATTTAGGGCAACGCTTACAAATTGATCCTATCTTATAATATCCGGTAATACATTTAGAGCAAAAACGGCCTTCGTTCCCATGCAGACAAATACACGACTTATCACAAACTGTTTGAGGCCGACCGTTCACGAGTGTTAGTTTACATTGACATTTTCCTGATGGGTTGCAAATTTCTTCATCAAACACTTTCTCGTGACCACTACATTTAACCATACGAGTAACGTTCGAAAAACCATCACAACACGGCCAATATCCTTTCTTGATCGTCATGTTTAAATTGTTGCCACCGACTAAAGGTTTATTTGGTGGGGTAAATACCTTACACCACCCTCCTTCCATACAAGGCTTGCAAAACTTCTTAAAGCCGTAAAAACCATTTGCACAAAAGCATTCCGAATAATCGTAATAAGCGGGATCCAACTCAACCTTACCCCCTGTAGTCGTCAAGATAAAGGTCGGACAAGTGTAGTGACCATGCGGAATGGTCTCTTTGAATGACGGTTTAAAATACTCCCACTGCGTAACAACTCTTTTGCTGGTCATGAGATCGTTTCCTTGCAAGTTTAAATACGTTAGTGTTTTTAACGACGAAAGAAAAAGTTTCGAAAGAGATCCCGTGAAATTATTAGATGCAAGCTTTAGGTAGAAAAGAGATGCCATTATATACGAAGGCACAGCTCCAGTCAAGGTGTTATTACTCAAGTCAATGTACATTACCTTTGGAAAGTTCCAAAACTTGATCGGCAATGAGCCATTTAGTCCAGCATTATGTGCAATAAGCAAACGTAACTGATTGCGAGAAGGTTGTAAAGCCTTGAGGATGGCTTTACCTTCCGAATTAAAATTAACGTTTTCATGAATGTATAGGTTCTGAAGCTGTTTGCCAAACGTAAAATTTTCTTCCATACCTGTAAAATTATTCCTTGACAGATCAAGAACTTCTAATGTGTGAAGTCCGCACAATGACCTTGGTAATTTTCCAGTCAACAACCGATTTGACCCCAACACAATCTGTTTTATAATTTTTAAACCAGAAAAGCACGTACCAAGTTCACCACTCAAATGATTTCCATATAGATGAAACTGGATTAATTTTGGGTGAGTTCTACCAAAATCATCAGGAATTGTTCCATTTAGCCCACAGTTGGTAAGATGCAATTCCTGTAAATGGGTCATGTTTTGAAAATATGTCAAATCACCACTCCTTAGTTTGACGTATTCCAAGTCCAAAAACCACAAATTCACCAGATTACCGATGCTCTTTGGTAAATCGGTATTGCTGATATTATTTTCACCCAGACTCAAAACCTGCAATTTGCTTAAGCGCCCTATATCTCGAGGGAGTTCTCCCGATAATCGTTTCCACTTACTAGTCATGCAACATAACTGCAATTTCTCCAAATTATAAAGCTCTAAAATCAAATGCCACGGGACCTTTCCGTAAACACCTGTAAACGACAAACTGACGCGTCGCAAACGTGTCATGTTGACGGAAATGATATCTGATATTTGACCATACAAACCATTGTTTCGTGTTAAACATAAACATTGTAGATTTCTAAACCGCCAAAAATTGGGCGGTTGGTATTGCACCATATTTCCCGTGAGGTCAATGGATTTGACGTAACTGTTATTTTCGTAGCATTGTATACCATACCAGGTACAATGATGGTTTTGGGAGCTATTGTTCCATCCACTTCGGTTATACCAGTGGGAACCGCCAGTTTGTCGATATAGTTCAAGCAAAAAAGATTTCTCTTCCTCCGGAGTAAACATAAAATCGCTTATAGTGTTGTTCGCGGTCATATTATGTAGACAACCCGCTTCAAGGACACCTGCCTTTTGCAAGTACGCAGATGAAGAGATACCTAAAGAAAAAACCAAGTAGTTCATCACTTTCAAACAGTAAATTGGTGCCTTACGAGTGCAACGTAATACCTCAATAAAACGGCCACTTTTTTTGTGTCGGTGAAACACGTAGGTAATTAAAGTAAAAAATAAATTGTTTTTTTCCAATCAGCAGTGGGCGGAATCCTACCTTTTCCTGCAATCTGATTAGCAGATCAACACAACATAACAAACCTTTTCTTAACACCGATATGAAAGCTCCCAAAAGGATACCAACTTTTTAATGAAAAATAAAACACACTCAGTCTACCAGACAGGTTTCTATTTTCACACCTTGTATTGTAAATATCACAATTCTTAGTTCTCACAAGTCTTTATTATTAACTGAAAAATAACCTTTTAAAACACAGGCGTTGATTGGTCGAAAGCTCGAAAAAAGATTTTTTATGAAACTCAATACAGTAAATATGTTTTCAATTTCGTTTATAAAATAACCCTTTAAAAATATTTGAAAAATAAATTTATCGATTTTAATTTAAAAATTAAAAGAAACTTACCTTAAGTTTAACTTTGATTTGGATTCTACATCATTGGTCTGGAGATAAGGAGTCATGTGAGAACGCACGCGATCCACGAGGTTCATTCTTCACAGATGTGATCATGTGAAAATAAAGGGTAGGGGAAGGACAAGGTCCCTGTTACAACTTTCGCATCCAAGATGGGTGGGCACGTGACTCTTTAGCTCCCGACCAATGATTCAGAGAATCCAAATCAAACTTCAAGTTAAGGTAAGTTTCATTTGATTTTCAAATTCTACTTCATTATTGGCCATTGGTCGCTATATAAGGAGTCACGTGACATGATCAAAGCAATATGATCACAAAGGACGGCATACATTTTTAACCATAAACATCGAGAAAACATAAAAACATGTTTGTTTATGCATAAAGCTACATAACTCAACAACTCATTACCGTAGTTCAAGTCCTTCTGAATAGACAAATTATAAAATTTTTGAAATGTTAGATGTGAATTCCATCCACCACTTTTCATGATGATGTCCCGTGAATTTGCTTAGTAGATGCATCTGATGTACATACTGATCGAGTACTATAAACTGCAAAATCATCATTTTATCCAACTGCTCACTGTGTCTGGGCGAACTGGACCATGTGGCTTTTGCAAACTCACGAAGAGCTGCTCATATCCGTTTCTCAAAGGCTGTGTTCGTCTTAGACATTCTGTTAAATATGCAACAACGCATATGCTAGGATCAGGCGCATACGATGCAAATTCCAGATGATTCAAATGTTTACCAGGCTTAGACGTTTTTAACAACTTGTCGATTACAAACACACATTTATCAGTACTCTATTGCATGCAACTAATCTTTAATGGATGCACTGCCTTGCTTCGTTGTCCTGACAATAAATAGATTTAGATTTGAGGACGCGAAGTCTAAGACGACGTGAGTATGGCGTAATCTGTCGTAAACACCCTGTCGCTTTACTTTCGCTGCCTTTGCGACGTCGTCTTAGTGTTTTTCACGACGTGAGCTTGCTGTTTTCATGTCCTCTTAAAGACGTCTGTGTTTTCTACTTTTCCTCTCCATTTAAAATGTAAGTCTATGGAAATTTATGATTTGTTTGTATTGATAGTTTACTATTGAAGCAATTCAGCTAAAACTTGTGTGTTTTTGCATTCAAATTTGTCGAAATATTAACATGCATGATGTATGCATGTTTTGTTGTTCATGTAAACAATCAACAAGATAAATAATTTCGTTTTTATTTTGTTTTAGATAAATTTTTCTTTATATTATTTGCAATGTCGACGTTAAGTAATAATCCAAACTAGAGAAAGCAGTTTTTCAAAAAAAAAGAACTAAATTTTATTGAAATTTTGGGTGTTTTATACGCTATTTTATGATGTTTTGTCAATACTTGCGCTATATTTCATACAATCAATATAAACGAATCTACAACTCATATTGTACTATTGAAAATCTTATTGAAATGCCATGAAATAGCAGTACTATGATTAAAAATTGAATGTAAGTTAAAAGAAATATATTGTGTTTTTCGATCCGTGCAAACAAACTATTATTCTCAACTAAAGTGTTGTTTTTTCTTACATAAACTGTTGAATTATCAACAACTATAGAAACAAATGCCAAATAACTCAGTATAATCGGATAAAAGATGAGATTCAATTTTCGTAAAAACTCGTCGTCTTCTCATATAATCTAAATCACTCTTCACATGAAAGACGACGACGTCGCCGACCCAGATCGCCTCGGTCAACTCACGTCGTACGTCGCGTCCTCAAATCTAAATCTGTCTAATAAAGCTAATAACATGACGACTTTCAAAGTTAAATCCTTTAAGCTAAGTTTATTAGCTACCCCGATAAATCAACACCCTAGTTATATCCCTAGTAGCGTTGTAACGTGGAAGTGCAGGTCGAGTTTCAAATACGCCTTTCATAAGTCTGCGCACTAGTGGATGGGTGCCAATAGTCACTCCGCCAGGAAGGACGATATAAGACAACAGCGCACTTCTTGCCGTATTATGGGCACTATAACCAATACCAGTCTGGAACAAGTTGCCAAAATTGGATCAACTTGCTTTTCACCTCAGTATAGGTGCCATCGTTTGATATAGGGGTTGTATTGCTTTCGTGTACTTTCTCTCCAAGACTGCAGAACCAATTTGGCAGCCTCGCATGAAAGTCCACTGTCATGGAGAATTCCCTCGAGATTTGACATAGCAGTAGAACCAGCTTTGGATATAGTGGATGAATCAAGCTTGGTTGGCTGGGTTGAGTCAACAAACCCTTTGCCAATGGCAGCTGAATTAGCTCCTGCAGTAACATTCTCGTCACTTTGGGCCATTAAGACTGCGTCGGCCGTTTCGGAATCAATTGCAGTCCTGTTGCCTTGTCTGTTTGAATTTTTTGTACAACTTTGGAAGGATACTAAAAGGTGGAAATGCATAACATAAATACTTTGACCACGATATACCGAATGCATTAATGGCACAAGCTTCCGGATATGGATTAAAAGCCACAAAAGGCTTGAATTTATAGTTGAGCCTTGAGAAAAATAGATCAATATCAGGTGTAAACTTAGAACACTGTATTGCCTGTGACAGGATAGCACAGTCAAGAGCCCACTCACTGGAGCCTGAGGCCCTACGCGACTCTTTATCAGCAAGGGTATTTGCTACACCGAGAATATGCAAAGCGGAAAGCCATACCTTATTATTTACACACCAATCCCATACTGATCTACAAGCGATATTGCATTCTCTAGAGTGGTTTGTACCCATATGATTCAAGGTAGCTACAGCTGTCGTATAGTCAATAAGCACATGAACATGATTAACTTTTACCTCATTGCAAAATGCTTCTAGTGTCATAAACACTGCAAATACTTCCGGATAGTTTAGATGAAAGGAAGATTCTGTAGGAGTTCACTGGTCCCATGTGCTACTGTCTTCCAGCATTCCATCCTAACCAGTAGTTGAGGCTTTTATAACCGCATTATACTTGCTATGGGATACTACATTAAATTTACTGGGAATAAAAGCCATCCATCATTGTAGATCATCAATACTAGATTGGGAAAAGGTCATAAAAGTATTAAAATTCTCTTTACTCTTCTTCAGGGCATCATTTTTATCCATGTCGATGCTGCAGTATTGAAGTGAACCAAACATGACAGCAGGAAAACTTGCTGTCATCATGCCAACAAGTGATGCAACCTCGCGAATAATGTTTCTCGGTTTTGAAAGCACATCTCGGCAGCCCTAAATTAAACCTTCTGTTCTATCTGGAGTTAAATAGACTTTCATCTCCACTGAGTCTAATATGAACCCAAGGTATGTTAACCTTTGGGTTGGTAACAGGACTGATTTTTCCGGGTGAGGAATAAAACCTAGCCAGTGAAAAATACTCAAAGCACATTTTAAATTTGCAACATAGTATGCATAATCATCCCCTTGGAAATACGAGTAATCTATGTACCCTGATGAGTCATGACCTTTTTGTCTCAAAGAGGCGTAGACAGGTTTAAGCAATTTAGTAAACATACGAGAGCAACACGCAAGCCCATTGGGAAAGCAAACAAATTTGTATTATTCTCCTGGCCAACGAAAGTTGAGGTACTTTTGGTCATCTGGGGAGATAGGTACCGAGTAGTAGGCATCTTTTAAATCAACTGAAGCCATATAACAATGTGGTTTTATCACGCTAATGGCAGATTGCAAAGTATCCATTTTGAAATGATGGTAAGTGACATGCTCATTAAACAACTTTAGGTTTAGAATCATACGATACGATCCATTTTTCTTAGAAGTAAGGAAGATGGGAGAAATAAACTCCCTGGACAAAGAAATAGAAGGGACAATAACACGTTTAGCAAGTAGACTGTTGATTTCAGAATTGATGAGCATTTTATCATTGCAGCTAAATAGTTGCTCTCTAGGCTATTTTGTTTGCACAGAGGGGGAGGAGAATTCTATATGTGCTCCTGACACAATGTCTAAAATAAATTCATCTGATATAATATAAAACAAATTCCGAAGAAACAAGACATTTTGAGATTGCAAAATATGAATCAAAACAAGACGAGAAGTAAACTGTAAATTTTCGACTTTATTTCAAAGTCATCCTCACACAGAATGACAAAGTCATCCTCATCATTCTGTCTGAGGATGACTTTGAAATAAAGTCGAAAATTTACAGTTTACTTCTCGTCTTGTTTTGATTCATATTTTGCAATCTCAAGATGTCTTGTTTCTTCGGAATTTGTTTTATATTATACTTTTTTAAATTGTCGGCTGGTCATGGTAAATTCATTTGAGGTTAACAATTTCCATTGCTCCGCATAAGAAGCCAGTCTACCTCGAGGGAAAGAACGCTATGAACCTCGTGGATCGCGCGCGCTCTCACGTGACTCTTTGGCGACCAATGACCAATGATGAAGTAGAATGGCATGTTGTTTATATTTTCTTCATTGAAATTTCACGCACATTAAACCACGCAACCTGCAAGATTCTTGCGAGACTGAAGACACGTGCATTATTGAGTTACATCAACAATGTTTTTTCGAGCATTCGACCAATCAGCGCCCGTATTTTTAAAAGATTATTTTATAAAACTTGAGAGAAAATTAGAAACTCGTGAAATGTTTTTTATATTTTCAATATCACATTATTTAGTTTCGTTTGATTGGATTTTGGTAGTATGTATGTTTTATATAATTCTGTCAGAGCAGACAAAACTTCAGGAAATACAAACAGCACTTAACCTTATCGCTTTCTTAACTCACATTTAATTTTTGCGTGTATGGTTCATATCATCCAAGCAAGCACAGAAACCATTTAGTAATTGTTTAAAAAGTTGTTTCGAAAAAATCAAGACATGCACGCTGAAATAATACATTGCTATTGTATCATTCCAAAAATTACATCCGAAACGAAAAGGCAGTCTTCACCACTTCCAGACATTTACACTTGACTGTCGACTTAACTCTCCATTCTTACAAATTAACCTCGAAACACTGATTACACGGACAAATCTGCTCATATTTGCGTTTCCTAGAATGACACGTACTTTATCGTATCATATTTCACATCCATAGTTATGTCTATAGCTACCTATGTAAATTCCATTTGTAATCATTATCGGCCGCAGATACTGCAATACATAATTCTGACAGCATTGTGTTTTACTGACTCAGGACTGTAGCTATAACATTAATTGGTGGGGTGCCTATTAATATAATTAGTAGTATCGGATTGATTTATGTTGAAAGTGTTCAGCTTTCTAAAGAATTCCGTTGCGTACAACTAAATTCCAAAGCCATCATCAGAGCGATTATACATAATATAAATCTTAACACGATTTATTTTTACATGCACATGAAAAACATGTGACTTGGACGAGATTTGAACTCGCACCTTCGGGGTACTAGTCCGCCCTACTAATCGTCTGTGAGCTACGAAGACCACAGGGATTAGAGACGAGTCAAATCTCTTAAAACTACGTATGGACGAGAAGTTCTCCAGTAACTGCTATCGTGGCGAGTTAGTTGTATCTAGCTACAACTAACTTAACTATTCAATGTCTGATGAATGTCTACATCTTACAGAATGCAAAAGAACCTGTATTACAGTCTCCTGCTTTGGTCTTGGTAGATAGTACAGTGTAATTTGTCAACAATCTTGCCATTGTAGACACTAATGTTTTTGATATTACAAGACCCGCATATGTTTTAACGGACTACAACCAATACTAAACAGCTTATGCTTATATCAATGAAAATTAGCAAACAACATGACACCCAAAGCAATGCATTTTATAATATAACGCCTTCATAAACAAATAAGCTTGTTGACTCTGTGTCAAGAATCAAAATACAACGGCAAGTTTGCCATGAAGTGGACTACAATAACAATATCGGCGTTGAGCGAATCGAAAGCCTATAATATGTACCATTTGCCTTGTGTGAGCAGTAAATTACTTTATATTTTTACTTACCGAAAGGCGACAAAGCAACACAACACGACACCCAAACAATATAAAAGTTCAAATTGTATTTCATCTGCATCGTCAATTTGAATTGTTCAAGTCGAATACAGTTGGTACAAAGTTTACATACAAAGTAAAAAGAGCATAAAATACTCTCTCAATAAACCCTTTACTGTGTAGCTCCTTTCTGAGAAAAAGGAATCTGAACGATCAGGTTTCTTGCACACCATGCACGATCAATTAAAATACATCGATCGAGTCACTAAACCGCAACTGAAGGACAATTACAGTCAAACCGGATGTTGTTTTCTCCTGAATGTTGCAAGATTGCAACACACCTGTCAATTTAGCAATATTCATTGGTTGATTCCAAAAGCAATTTGCAGTATGAAAATTCAAATTGCAATTTGAAGTTTTTGCCATTCACACAAAAAATAAAACAGTTTCTTTACCTAATGGAGAACGTGTTGTAGCTTTATGGGGGCAAGAAACATTCAAAAGCATTGCTTCCAAATTGGGAATTTCAAACAGAACATCCTCGAAAATTATAACAAATGCAGCTTCGAGCTCGATTCTTTTGAATGTTACCGCCCCACAATCGTACGCATTTCAAAATGCCTCGCAGATGACCAGATTGTCGTTGGGTGGAATAGCCATGAACACACAAAGATTTACATTTTCGTTTATAAAATAAACATAATGAAACGCGTGCGCTGATTGGTCTAAAGCAAAGCTTGCATTAGCCAGTGCAAAACACGTCTGAGCTCAAACAATCAAATCAACCTAAATAATCAATCAGTCAAAGAGAATTTGCAAATCGATCGTGAATACATGTTAGAGGAAAAATTTAAATTTTTGTGTTTTTCGCATTATTGTTGTTTAAAAAACTAATAAAAGATGTTTTTCGTGTTTGCACTGGCTTATGCAAACCTCGGAGACGTTTGTGAGAACTCTTGAGCATGTGAAACCCTCGACCTTCGGTCTCGTTTATGCCCGTCATCAGTGGTAGTGCTGGATTACTAAAACTAGAAGTCTAAAACTAGATCATACACAATATTATGTATATTCTCTGATGATGGCTTTGGACCACAACTAGATTATTTTCAAACTAAATAAGCTTTCTTTTACGTTAAGTACTCCACCAGAACTTTGACAAATATATTTAGTGTTTAATTCTAAGTCGTCGCAAATACAACACATTCTAAGAAGCGAAAAATTGTCACATATTATTTCCGGTTCTTGTGATAAAGTCGGGGGTTAATGTCTGTAAAACACACAAAACAACGTACGTAGCAAGAAAAATTCAGAACAAAATGCTTGATGAAAACGAACTAATTCCATCGTTTCACTTTAAAATGTCGCATGCATTCATGCGCAACGATAACAATTCCTTCATTACGAAGAATAATACGACCCAAGCATACACTCAAGGTTGCAAACACATGGACTATTGGCAACGCTTAACATCATGTGTGTCTCCATAATATTCAGAAAGCATTTAACCCGAAATAACAAAACAACCCATCGAACCACCCAAACTTTTTACCCGCTAATTACTGACTAAAAAGTCAGCCGCACTTAAATGCAAGTTATGAACTGATTGCAACTGGGAACATGCCATCATCGTGTTGTGACTAGCTAAAAACTGTATAAAGTTCAAGCAATGATAACAAAACCATTCTTTAAACGCTGAAAACCCCAACAATTTTTCCCCACCCAAACTTTTTAGTACTTTGCCTTTGTTACTGAATAAAATATGACTCGCAAAGCTGAACATCATGACGTGTGTCACAAAAATTTCGAAGGCGTTAAATACAAGATAGCAAAACCATCCTAAACCACCGAATTGTTTTAACCTTTTATTAATGATGGAAATATGATTCCAGTTGAAGAAGAGAGACAATACGTAAATACGTCTCTAAAAACATCCACGTGCACAATCGATTCGACCTATTGACGTTGCACCAACAACCTTCGAGTTGTTAGGTATTTTCAGCATCAGTAACTCTAATAGTTAACTCTTAATCCACGGTGTTTTTTTTAAAGTGCTTTAAGTTGTTATAAGATTGTGTTAGTTAACAAAAATTTATGTACACTGTTTTTTTTTGAATAATAAAGTATAAATGCAGTAAAGCTTTTAAGAGTTCTATAATGAGAGAGGTTACTATTTTTGCGCACTATCTAGCTTGGTGATGTGATAGGCTGAAGCTTGTTACTGGCATACTCAATCAAATAGTGAAAATCTTCCAAAGACCAAATCACCCATCATGAGACGCTTTAGTGCTCTACTGTTTGTGGGGTATCAAGAGCATGGACTGAACAAGATTTTTGATAAGACATTTTTTTGTTTCTTGTACCATAAACAATTTTTAGACGATGTCTAGCATCAGACGTTATTTAAAAATTCATTCGACCTAACATGTTTCAATAGCTAAGGCCTGGGAAACATAGTGGTTACTCAGATCCACAATTGCAATGTAATGCAATATATCTCGATTCCGTTTACGAAAGGTGTTAAATTGCCTTTTTTTTCTTAAAATATGAACAAAGTAGGTTTACAACAACACAGTGGAGATGCAGTTGCCATATTTTTCAAAGTTTTAGGCGGGGGGCATTGATAATTCCAATTTAGTAAGTCAAACATGAAAGCTAGAGATTACTGGGCCAGGATGACACTAAGATTTACCATACACAAAAGGGGCAACCTCTATCTATACCTATATGTGCAAACAGACATTCTGGAAACAAATAAAGGTATTATTTTTGACAAAGGTCGAATACTTTAGCGTTTGCCGTGTTTAATCTTTCTTTCTGTCAATGCTACCTCCCCCCCCCCTCGTAGCCTTTAATTTACACTTAAATCCGCCCCCATGCAATTTTGTAACTGGAAACACAGAATACATTTGTAGTAAAATTCTTCAGGAATGAAAATCTTCTGAAGCTGCGTGTCCAAAACAATTCTCAGAGCTTGTTGAGGTCCGATCAGTCGTAGCATGGTAAACAAGTAATTTTTCAAGTCACCATGGAGATCTGTGAAACTTGACAATGTTGTTCCTTTTATACATACGTGCTTTTCAATCTCTCCCACATGATTCGACTCCACAAATTTCAGTCGATCCCCGTCAGTAGCTTTGAGTGCACTTTTATAAACAGCATCTGACACAAAATCACTTTCCTCATCAATAATTCCACAACGAAAATGTATCGTTATCAAGTACTGTAAACCATATCGCCACTCGTCAAATGAACGAGGAAGACACCCTTCATTAAAATAAGAAAAAACAACGTCGATTGAAAACCTAATTTTATGAAATTCATATTCTGACCCCATCCGTAAAACTTTTCTTTACGCGAAATGGAAATCATCGTACCTAAACACGACGTGAAAATAAAAAGAAAAGTGATGAAATACATACTATATCTACGTATAAAGCATGAAATATATGAATGATCGTAGAGGTGACGTAATGATTACCCAAATTTTTAAATTTTCACGCAAAAATGACTCTACAAGTCAAATGACGTTCACACTTGTTTTCATCCAGTTGCGTAGCCAGACTGCGAGTTTTTATCATTGCACGAATATAAATAGAAAATCTCTTACTGAGTCAATACCGATTGATTTTCAAGCAAAACAAAACTAAAGACGAAGCCATTGAATACATTCATGCAACAGTGACGGCATATTTCACGAAAAGCTGAGGAATACAGCATTGCAATATCTTTGAGTACTTTGCTCGTGTTTCAGGATTTTTAAATTCGTTTTTTTGTGCTGAAAATAACTGATCACAGTAATGAATCACATTTGAGTGCGTCACTGACAAAGATTGCAAAAACTGGCCGTATTTTTTGGAGAACGACAAACAATATGTTGAAGAAATGATAAATCTGTTAGGAGAAAAAAATTCTATTATTTGCTTGAAACAATGGGAAAGCCTATTCCTACTAGGCGGATACTTGTGGGTGGTAAAGCATTCTGCACACAACTCATATTACAGGATAGGATCTCATTTTCTTACTACCAAACACCTTCCCAACTCTATAGCTTATCAAAGGCAGAACATAATAAAACAATCATGCTTGTACTTGAGGTGAATGGTAATTAACATGTACTCTCAACTTTACTTACCCCACATTTGAGAAACATTGAACAAAGAAATATCTCGAAGTTGAAGAGCAAGTTTTATCGCTTCTTTGCGATACTCCAGCATCACAAGAATTTGTATACATCCTAACCAATACCTAAAATGATCATGAGGCAATTAAAAATCTCTGATTTTTTCGTTTCTTTCGTGTAGTAGATGATTGTTGACAAGGCTTGATAATTAACAAACAAAATACAATTCGAAAACACAAAATTTTTTTAGCCATTCTGTGATGGACGCGAGGTGATAGGCATAACAAGAAATAACGTAACATGACGTGGTAAGACGTACTTGAAGTGTAGAAAAAACTTTGACGAAAGTGGTAATGTTAAATAAACTGATATTGAAGCAACGCTGTTTTTTAACAAAAAAAATCAGTTTTAAAAATAATTTGGATAAAGTAAACTGAATGATAGTAGATTGAATGATATCAAAATTTTCTTTTCTGAAAAAAATTGACTGTAAAACAATTGAGAATTGAGAATGGGCGCATTAAAGAAAATTGTCACTCTCGCATAGAGTACATTATTATACCAGACGTTTTCAACTTTAATTCCATAATAGTTTAGGAAATTAAGGAAAAGCTAAAGAGTCCAGTACCTGAACAAATCACATGGACACTGATTTTTGGTTGAATTTTCACGAATTAAAGTTACATATTTTTAATGAATTATAGTTTATAGATCACGTTACAAGCTAAATGTATTTTCTTTGATTGCAGCTGTAACAAACCCATACAGTTATATAACATCTGCTCTTGGCAGTGGCGTAACTAGACCGCAAGTATATGTCTTGCATGTAAAATTTTACAACATTATTTTTTTCATTAGAAATGTATTGTTTTCTCAGCAAAGGAACACAAAAAATTACGATAACAGAACAAAGCGGGCAACCTTCGCTCGTGGATCTTTCAAACGACTTAGCGTCGGAGGAGAGGGGGAGGGGTTTCTGGGAAACTTTTCTACCCTCACTCTAGTTAACATCAATCCATTGAATGGAATACTTACCCATGACAATAGGATATGTTGAATAATTTCTTTAAGGACTCGTAATCGTTGCTTGATTTCATTACTTGAATAACATCGACCATGAGCTCTTCATATTGGAACGATGTTCGATGAGAGCCAGGTCTGTTGACGAACAAGAAAACTATAGTTAGACAAGTAGCCAATTAGTAAAAGAAAGAATGGCTCTCCATATGGTAACACATCTGAACTACAAAAATCAATTTGTAAAAAAAATCAGTCTTTGTGCCCAAAGAATTTTAACAAGTAAACTTTATTGTAATAAAGTAAATGGTGTGATGATTAAGTTATGCCTGATTGCAGGTTATATGCATAAGCGCGGGAAACAGGGATAACAACAAGGCATGAAGTGAACCTCCAGATGAAAAAAGTGAAGAGCGTTTTTTTGTATAATGTCTTTTGTTTAATATATATTTGTCATAACAACGGGAGTTTGGTGTTCTTGAACAATTCGGAACAAATGGTTTGAACCCGGGCGCATCGTTACATGTTTGTAGATGCAGACAAATACGGCTAACCAGACGTTTATTCCTCATTTGACTCTGAAGATGACTACCGCCAAGGTTGTCGAAACATCAGTAAGCAACAACAACAACAGTCCTTCTCAGGAGTCTAATAGCCCGGACGAAATACATTTACAAACATGTAGACTTTATTGATCAATCGCTCCTTTGCAGATGGAAATTAACTACCTTGGCAAGCCACATTGACATCGTATATCAGAGTCATTTAAATCATCAAGTATCAGAGACGCACGGTAAACTATGATGAGAAATTTTTCAGGGCATCGGAGGTCTTTTATGACACTCATTCTATATAAGAATAAACATTCGATATAAGTGTTTCAGGAATTTCAAGTTATTTTTACGCAATGTATAAAACGATCTTCTTCAACATTTATCAAACTTTTGATTCTTCATGCAATATAACATTAAAAATGTAATAGCTACTGATAAAAAATTCGTGGTATCTTTTTAATTTTTTGCGTTAGAAGATATAGAATGCACTTTATGACATAGAAATAACACCTTCAATTGACACAACTTTTCCCGTAATTGTTTAAGTGAAGATGTCTTTGAATGCCTTCCCAATTTAATTCTAAGTACTAAACAGACTATCTCCTAAATCAGATTAGGTAAACTGCAAAAATTTTTGATTGCTTGCTTTTTTTGCAAATTCAATCGAACTCTTTGGCAAAAATGTGAAGAATTTCAACAAGTACTTTGCCCAAAGCTAACTTAATATATTTATAAGCAAACAATCGATTTGCACAACGTCTAAAAAGTTTGTACAAAAGGATCGGTACAGACACGTTTTGGCCTCCTTAACGGTGGTAATATTACTACAACTGCTTAAAATTATTCTCAGGACTTTACTAACCACGTCTACTAACAACTTCCACAAAGTTTTAAAGTTTTTTTTTGTAAATGAATGCATATGTGATAACAAACGAAACAGGTCTTACTTATTTTCATTTTTCTTTCCATGGTTCTGCAAGAGATGTGTGATGTACATGAGAAAATCACTGCAGGTATTGTGTACGTTGGTTGCAGTCGATAAAAACATTAGAACAGCCTCCCAAGGATGAATGAACGGATAAATTTCACCGCAAAGTTTTGCAACATCTCTCGGAACCAAATAATGCAACCTGTAAATTGAAAGACACGACACAAAAAATATAATTGTAAACAAAAATTCTGATAAAATATCCTCTGGTGTTTGGATTGTTTACGCTATCAGTATTTTGAGACGTGCCACGCTCTTGGATTGGCTACAGTAATAGTGGCTTTAATTTTCACGTGCTTGGGTTGTCTACATTACGAGTACGTGTGATGAGCTTATATGGGCTATATACCTTAAGTAATATACCTTTAAGTCAATACATATTACGATATTTAAGCAATGTGATTTTTGGGTGTTTACAATCAATACTTGGATCCACAAGAAATGACTAAAATGAGCATGCTTGTTTTCTGGTTCCATGCCTTTCGAAATGTCAAACAAGTGCTTACCTAAAAATATGTCTGAGAAGCCTTTTCTGAAAATTTTCAGCCCTATCTTTCATCAATTGCAACGCCTGTTTACTGTCTCCAGCGTCTATAGCTGCATCAACGGTGTCTCTTTCGATGAAATCTAAAAATATTGAAAAGCCTACTAAACACAGATACGCTTTGCTATAATTCACGCAAGAGCAGTATTTTTTTCTGCAACTGTATTTTTTAGAGCGATTCAAGTTGTAAACATTTTATTGCTTGAATATTCGTAGCAAAAATAATTTAAAGTTACGTCTGAGCTGGTATAATTTAACTTGCTCAATACTGAATCCAACAATACCTTTGCCATATGATTAAGAAAATTTTCCACTTTGCTTTAATTCATAAATGAAATTCATAATTATATTCATTCAAAATTTTTTGTATGGTATATATGCGTGGTTTTTTATGGAATACCAAACGGTTGGTTTGAATTCAATGTCATTCAAAGCAAGTTCCAAAAGATAACGTGTGGCGTAAAAGGTAAACTTCAAGATACATTTATGTGTTGAGTTGTATCAACAGAATAGAAAATGACTGTTTCAAGCTAAAAACGTATTCTTTGTTTGCTTACCATCGATACATCTTAGCAGATTGTTCATTAGTTCACGATGGTTTAGACAATTAGCAATCAAACCATCCTTTAACTTTTGGTAATTCAACAGTGTGAAATTGGAGCAAACAAATCTTGTTTTTTCAAGGTCGGCTTTTACCACAGAGGCAGAAGGTTCTTCTTCATTTTCCCGTGTAGAATCGAAGAAAAACCCTTTATAACTCTTTTCACAAGTATCACAAGAAGACGGATTAGTCACATTCACTTCATCGCTTGCATCAAGCTCATCCTCAGAAGGTGATGAAAAAATATTCAACTTATAACACAACGTTACAAGTTCAGCAACGATCGTGGTTGTGTTGTGATCCAAAAATTTCACCAAATGCACTTTCATCACAGTGGAGATAATATTTCCGACGTCGGTTTTATAATATTCTTTACTATCTTTGTTCTTTGGGTATAACAGGCGAATCGCATTGTTTGCCTTCTCAAGGTACACAATCCACTCGTTAAGTAATGTTCGCAAAGCTTTTGGATCATAGAGTACTCCCCTTTCACGAATTTTTTGTCTGCGAGAATTGAAATGAATTGCTCAAACAAAAACAATAAAAATGTCTGTATCTATATATTAGTTGACAGATGACTTTGCCAAACCGCGCACCACTGATTTTGTTTCATTCAAGTTTTAAAGTACATTTCAAATAGCAATCTGAAGTTTTGACAGTAAAACTTTAGAATACATGACAATTTTTCATTTACAAGAGAAGAAAACACCTTTTTTCAATTTCTACTGACTACATTTAACAAGGTTGCCAAAGCATGCAGATCGTTGACAAAAGATACGATTAAATATAAGTCAACAGTCAAGAACAACAAAAAAAACCAAACAAATTCACAATACTGCAAAGAACGAGTCTTTCTTTTAAACAAGCATGAAACTTTACTATCTTGTCACTCTTTCATAGTTGAGGAGTAAAAATATCACTATTCAGCTAGATAGTTATTGTATAATGTTGTGGTCCAGTAGACAGTGATTGCGTACAATCTAGAAACATTCAACGGGCTTATGATTTGATTCTAGTAAGAAAAATAACACTTTGAAACACGGCGTTGAATGACGTTAGATTGAAATCAATCCCATCATGAGTTATCTCGAAGTTTTAAGCATGGTAATTAATCACAATCAAAACAAAAACAAAACGTTTACCTTGTTTCTCGTGAAATAATGATCAATGATTTTACTTCAAGAGGTGATGTAATGTGAGCATATATCCCCTTCGATACACCACCTTTACCATTCAACCCCTTTCTTACTTCGTTACCCGCCGTTGCCTTTTCCTCGGGCGTGAGCTTTTTCAAAAACTGTCGCGCCTTTTGTACAACATCTTGTTTCGCATTGGTCGAACGAGAGCGAACACTTTCCCTATTATCCTGCACAGGTGAATTGTCCATGAAAGACGTGGGACTCGAATCGAAACTTTCGTGTGACGCCACTGAGACCTAAATCACATAAATCTACAAGTCATGTATGAGCTCGTGCAACACGTTTCAGACGTGGTGTGCGCAAATTTGGAGCGTTGTTTAAACAAACCCACTTCTCACCCATTTTCAAGTTCCACTATTATGAGGATTTTAGTGAAATATATAAATCATATTTAATGATTTTAACCAAATCCATGCATTTGCCATTAAGAAAGGATATACAATGTTAATACTTTTACTTAAACACAACACAGCTCTGCTGTTTTAATAAAGGTATTATATAAAAGGCAAAGTTTCTTTCTCGCTAAACCTATCTTCTATATTTGGACATTCAAAAATGATATCTGATAAGTGAAAGCATGCTAAGGACAGATATTTGAAAAATATAAATTTTTGTATCTTTATGTCACTGTTTCATGGGATTCCTGCTCTGACTCTTTCCATATCACAATTTGAAAACATTTTTGGTAGAAAATGAACATAGCCAGTGGCGCAGCAAGTCTGCAGATTTACCACCGCTATGCAAATTTTGAAAGATTATCACTATTAACGTTTTAGAAACATATTGCTTCCACGGTTCGGTGAACACAAAAATATTTGCATAGAGGAAGAAAAAAGACTGGCTGGCTACGCCACTGGACATAGCTACAGTACGTTACATCTTCTCAATCTTTTTTCGCCACGTCAAGTATGCACATTACAAACTCAGATACAAACGAACTTTTCCTATCTTTTAGTCATCAAAGTCTTAAGACAGATGATCATTAAGGCAGTCTTCACCTCGCTATTGTATTCAATATTTACTAAACTGTTACTGTGTTTAAATGGCCGGATGAAAACACGCGGGAACTAAGCAAGAGCTAAGAAAAGCACAAGGAAGCGTTTGGCACCGCTTTTCTTATAAAACTCGAGCAGCATTTTCGAGTGTTTGGAAACATTCCGTTTGACCGGATTTTTGAATAGTTAGTCTATAAAAAGACATGAAGTCTCTTACCTTCCTGTCAGTTGCCTTCCCCAACAAGGAATCATTTTGAGGATCTTCTGGAATATTTGGATCTTTTGAAACAAAGAATGGTTCCAAATTAAAACGTCGTACGTAGTTACACAAAACTAAATCATGTAATCACTCAACAGACATTTGAAGTCTAAATATACAAAACAAAACTATAACATCACAAAGGTTTGTAATCACTCAGCCGTAAACCAAAATTCCATTTGATAAATAGTGCACAAGACATAGTACGCAAGGGCTTGAGAAGCTGTGGGTATCTCGGTGTCTAGACACTCATAATTTTTCGTATTTGGGTGTGCCCAACCTAAGACACCCACATATACAGCTTATTGCATTTAGGTGTGTAATATATTGAATGTCATGTTTTTACTGATGTACCAAATATTTTAAGGAAAGACCTTTTACTTTGACATGATGGCGAAAACCGTAAATCAAACTGACTAACACCGCCCAGTTGCATTTTTAGGTACGCATTGATCACATATTGAGCTTGGAGTAGCAACATCGTTTAAAAGCTTGCAAACTCACTGATTGTACGGTTTAGTCATAAATGTTTTCTGGAACCACTGAGTGTCTCAATGAAATAAATAAAAAAGGCAACGCCAAGTAAGCAACAACAAATCAGAAATCTACAAACACACCAACAGCTGCGAACGATTTAACCATGTGACTAATCTCTTTAACTTAACGTGGACGAACCTAATACCGCACAATTTGACTTAATACTCTTACTTTTAACAACATTCATATCATAGACAAGGCCAAGCATTCGTCCTTCAAACCTTCTATTCAAAGAAGCACTCGCTATTCGTAGGCATAAGCCGAACTTAATCATGGCTTACGTTAAAAATGCTTACGTTATTTATAGTAACCGTAGTTATTTAAGTTGGCCAGAAAAATAATCAAAGAAGGAAAAATGATTTGTACTTACTTGGCTTTTCAATTCTAATCAAATCTTTGGGTTGCAATGGACTTGTGATATCTTAGAAAAAGAATTAAAGAGTCATACATTTAACGACCAGCTAAAATAATGTTTTTTCAGCGATGGTTCATTTCACTACATAACAAAATTATAATAAGTTCAAGCCCCCGAGAGACCCTGATTTTGACAGAAATCGTTTATGTCAGTATGCTCCTTTGCAGAAAGACTGTAAAACCAACCCTCACAATGTGATATTTTTGTATCCATTAGTAAAAAAGCCAGGCAAACATCGATAAGAATAGCTTTCTGAAGACTGTAAAGGTTAATAGTCCAGTCAATCTACGACCAAAAACACTCTAAGCTTGAACAAATTTCCACAAAAGAAATTCCAACTGATTTTGGTATATTTGATATCCCTTTACAACATATCGAAAGTCCCACAAAATCCTAGCACGGCAACATCGTGTAAATTACGTTTTATTTGAGGCATTTGGATTGAAAATCTGAGCGACATGGAAACGAGGCTCAAAAATTAATGTTTTAGATTTTATTCTTTTAGAACACTTAGTAAAGCACAAATATAAATATTATAGATTAAAAACAAGTGGATAATGATATTTTGTAAATTAATTAATATTTTGTCCTTTATTTACGTCAAAAATGCTGATCTTGCTGTTTTGGGTACTAATTTTCGCTGACTTGGTAGTTTTTTAGACAAACGCGTGTTTGAAGTACGTTTGTTTACGTATATTTTGCACGTGTTTAGATGGATATTTATTATATTTAATGTGACTTCCTTTCAATACTTCAAATTGAAGCTTTGGCTCATTATTGGCATCAAAATGTGACGTTTGTTTGTTCTCCTCAAGGTAAGCAAAATAGATAACTTGAAGACAATGAGTTAATGAATGTATTATTTAATTGCTATTACATTTTACCATGAATGAATACGTCAATATTGTGGGTCACAATAATTTAAGTTAAAACTAACAAGAGGGGGCTATAATTAGCGACCTAATTACCAAATACAATGTTTGCATTATAATACCGCGTTCAAAGCCATAGATACATTAGGGCTGTAAAATATCGCATAAACCAGTAAATAAAACCAGGCTTTTTTGTGTTGTCGAACACTATTTTGCTTGTGACTCATTATAGGATGGATCAAATTCTGCGTCAGTACTGTGCAATATGTAAAGAATCAATTGTGAACAACGGGGTGGCTCTAACATCTAAAGGGATAGATGGTATAAACCGAGCTAGTAAAGAAAGAGGCGATACAGTTGACGTCCGTGAAGGTGACAGCGTTCACATAGCATGTGGGAAACGATACACAAATCCATCATATATTTCTAAATCGCTACGTCAGAAGGAAGAGCGTCATCCCGTACCAAGAACCCTTCACTCACAAAGTTCAGTTCAGTTCTGGCTGTCATTGATTTGTCATTGGATTTATGGAGCATTTTTTAAGTTCCATCTTTCAATCTTACTACCAGCGTTGGGCCAATGTATTTTCCCATTTTACAGCAGTAGTAGTTTTCAAGGCAGAACAAATTGTTACATTTATTTCTATACAAGCTAGTCATGTAATAATTTGATGGACAACGACTCCATCTTCTACTGTCAAATGATCGTCCGACGTCCTTTTGCTGGCAGTGTCCCCACTGCTTTACTTGCGTTTTAGGCCGACAGCATAAAGCTTTTTCAATATTGGACAATGTATTTCCAGATGATCTGTAGAGCCCAGCCATGTAGTAACCATTATTACAATACACCCAACCCTTCCTGTCGAATTCCACCCCCCAATCATGATGATAACAATCGCGATCTTTTGAAGAGGAATATAGATATGCAGGAGCATCATAACAGTCTACTTGTTCTATTAGATAAATTGGATCAGACTTGATGCGTGTATTTCTGTACATTCCAGTCATGTATGTTCCATGTCCACATGTTGACCATCGTCTTGAATCAAAGCTAGATTAATAAGGCATGGATTCATACGAAGTTGACATATCTTATAGATGCGACAAACACAGAAATCGTAGATGACATCATCTCAACACAAGACACGTCCAATGAAATTCAGCGCTTGGAAGGTAATACTATAGCACCAAAGAAGGGTTAATAACCCTTACTAACAAATAATACCAACATGCCATTTTTTTTTGCTTTCCAAGGAGTGCCTTAAGACAATCAAATTGATGAAAACAAGAACTTCTTGAATCAATGCCAAGACCTTTACAAAGACTTGATCGAGAAAAGAAAAACAGCTCAAGAAGTGGCTGCTTCAAATAAGCTGAAAGAAATCGAGGGAAAGGTTAGCAACAGGCGAAGAGAGCTGAAAGCCAAAAGTCGAACCGCCACTCTCTGGCTACAATATCAAGAGATGATTGACATTGTGCGTGGATTTATTAAAGCTGAACGAACTGGAAATTGGGAGATGCACCTGCAAGTCCTATCAAGAATGTTACCATACTTTGCTGCATCTGGCCACAACCTTTACACAGAAAGTTCTACCCTCTATTTACAATCTATGATGAATCTTAAATATGAGTTTCCTGAAGTCTACAAGTCATTTTCAGATGGTTTCCATGTTGTCAGAAGGAGTGAACGTTACTGGGCTGGCCTGTCCACTGATTTAATTATAGAACAAGTTCTTATGAGAACTGTTAAAACCACAGGTGGCCTGACCCGCGGAAGTGGAATGACCGAACGGCAACGTGTCGTGTGGGTATTGTCTACTCCAGCATGTGCCCAGCTTAGCTCAGCTATGCAAGACCTCATTTGTGAACACAGCGAACAAAACAAAGATATGTCCCAAAGTCGACAGAAAAGAGATATGGATGATACCATGCTCATACTTAAAACGCTTGCATCAGAAGAAAAGAATCATTTATTCAAGAATCAGTTCTCAAGGATATAATGACAGGTGTAAACGCAGATGATTCCGTTGATGTTGATGAATCTCGAAGTAAAGGAGAAAACATATTGTCAAAGATGGCTGGTACAAAAGTATGCGACTACACATTTACACGTAAAGATCAGGCCATTACTCTTGCTGCAGGCTCATCAGTAAAGATAAACGGAGTAAAAGTACATGACGATCCACAGCTTCTGTTTCAGAGGTTAGTCTTTGCATGTAATATCGTTGATGATTTAGAAGAAGTATTTCAATACGAGCTTTGTAGTTATCCAGCAGCCTTGTTCGATTCCCCGCTAACGTTGCGAAAGCCTCAGAAGTCTAATCTTGCAGACACATTGTGGGAAATGCTGTCACCTGATGCTAAGGCCGGCCCGGTCGGCGAAACCAAATTCGTCATTGATGGAGGAGCTCTTCTTCATCGCGTACCATGGCCAAAGAAAGCAACCTTTCAAGAATTGTGCCAGAAGTACTGCCACTATGTAAAACAGAAATATGGGGCAGGAAGTTGTATTGTTTTGACGGTTATGATAACCCATCTACTAAGAACATGGCGCAACAACGAAGATCATCCGGAAAGGTTGGGGCAACAGTGTCATTCGAAGCTGACATGAAGATAACAATGAAAAGAGATGTATTCCTTGCTAATATACACAATAAGAAACGACTTATAACTACTCTTCGAAATTATCTGGATTTGAATGGCTGTACTACACTCCAAGCCGATGGCGACGCTGATCTTCTCATAGTAAAGTCAGCTGTTTCAAGTGCCATGAAATATCCTACCGTTCTTGTTGGAGATGAAACAGATCTTCTTGTTTTAATGTGCTATTACGTCAAAGTGGATGAGGGATGTGGTCTTTATTTTCGTCCAGAACCAAAGAAAACAACTAAACGTAGAACGGAAAGAGTATGGAACATGAGAATAGTGAGATCAGAGCTGGGTGAATCTCTGTGTAAAAAAATTTTGTTTCTTCATGCTATTGCTGGTTGTGACACGACATCCCGGCCCTTTGGCCTTGGAAAATCGGCACCTCTTAAGAAATTCACAGATTCAAACTATTTCCGTGAACAAGCATCAGCATTTGAAGTTTCAAACGTCAGCATGAATACGGTTATCCAGAGTGGTGAAAATGCCTTGGTCTGCATGTATGGAGGAAAAAAAGGCGAGACTCTAGACAGTTTGCGCCACAGGAAGTACTACGAGAAGGTGTGCACTAAAGGCCGAATGGTAGAGCCCAAAAGTCTTCCCCCAACATCTAGTGCAGCCAAGTATCATTCATTGACAGTCTTTCTTCAAGTTAAGCAATGGCAGAGTCAAGACGGAGGATTGTTGATTGATGCATTTGGTTGGAAAATGTGTGGTTATGTTATCGTACCGAGAACAACTGATCTTCCAGCAGCTCCTGAAAACTTGCTTAATATGATACGATGCAACTGTACCACAAATTGTTCAACTGCAAGATGTACCTGTCGTAAAAATGGACTTCACTGCACAATGGCATGTGGTCAATGTAGAGGTACTGGTTGCACTAACAGTGGTGTTGATGTTGAAGATGATTAACAAAAGTATGAAATGACAGAAATGTCTTTGTAAATCAAAGTACACTATATCAACCATATGTAAATTTAGTGACACTCTTGTATTACTATGTAACCTAAAGGATTCCTTTTTTTCGGTCGTTGAAGACTTAACATGATTTTTAATAGCCACGCTGCAGATTTATATAATCAAATATGATATTCGTTAGGTCAAAGCAGTGTTATTTTGTAATTCTTGTTTATAGCCTCGTTTTCATGTCATAATTTCACAGAAAACATTATTTTACGAAGTTGCCGGCCTCAGATCATGTGGGACTTTTAATATGTTGTTCTGTACATGAAAGGAAAGATATTTTTGAAGAGTGAGCTTTTGTGGGAATTAGTTCAAGGTTCAACCATAAATCTACTGGACTATAACCATTAATCTTGTCAATAAATGACACCATGCAGTTGTAAAATTATTCAGGAGATTTCTAATTGAATTTTTCACATCGAATTGAATTTCAGTTCATTTGTATAATTTAAATCTTCAGAAATCTAAAAGGATATATATGCAACTTATTCATACGCAAGGACATTAACTGCAAAGTTTGCACAAAGAGCAATGCAGGCTACATTTGAATTTATATTGGGGCCATATAAATCACTTACCAACAGTATTTATCTTGACTTTCTTTTTTTTCTTATCACGCACAACTATTGGCTCCTTGCTAGAAAATTTCAGAATAATTAACAACACTGCTAACAAACTTAACTTTTGTCTTAAATGTGTTCTGTTCAATTTGGTGCATTTTTTGGCTATTAAAAAATTACATGACACGAGCCCCAGATCAACAAAGTGTTAAAACATTTTTGAGAATAAAAGCGATCCAGTATTTTGTACTTGTACTTGGGCATATTTCATTGGACATGAGACATAAAAATACATTCAAAGTGGAAAAGCTTTTTCGCAAGCACCAATTTAAGAATTACCACACTTCAAAATAATTTCACGTCTTACTATAAACCAGCAAACTAGACTTATATGAACAGCTCGTTAAGAGTAAGGTCTAAAGATGTAAAATATCAACAAATGATAATCGTACCAATCGACAGCAACCTAATTATAGCAAGATAAAAGCATCACAATTTATCTTAAAGAGCAAGACTAGAAAAGTTATTTAGTTTAAGAGAAAATTTTTTGAGAAACATGAAGAATTATTTTCATTAAGTGAATACACAGAGCAACCTGGATAGTTTAATTACCAATAACTCGTATGCAATTGAATAAACTTCTGACTTAACACAAGTGTAAATCAATTATACAGCAACAAGGGTTATTTGATTTTCTAGAGGATGGTCAAAATGAGCAAGGTGATTTTGCAATGACCAAATTTTAATCATTTTTAACATGAAATGATTTTGAAAATACTGACATCACTGATACGTTTCCTGGTTTTCGGTGTGCTAATTTTAATTGGAAAAGTACAACAGACACACGTCACCAAATAATTAAATAAATCCCGATTTCCTGTTTACTTTCATGCAGAATTTCATAATTGAAAAAGCAATCTAGTAGATAAACTGACTCTAACTCCTTACCTCTCTTCTGAGTCATATCCAGCTAAAACATCGACATGTGTCGAGATGTCCTTAACAGTGATGGATTCTTGTAATACGTTACTCTCAGCAGGTGAATCGTAACCACTTGTCTCTCGACTTGTATCGATTGTATCCCAACATTGTGGAAAGGGCTAAAGTTTAGATTCGATATAAGTACATCGGTGACTTCTTATGCATAAGTGTACATTGTCGGACTGTAAAATTTTTAACCTTGATTATGAAGAATATGCGTCGATCACTCGTTTGTAAATTGCAGTTAATGAAGTTTTTTGTTTCTTAGATTTGATGAAAAGTACAATGTAAGTGACAAGGCAGACTGACTTAATTCGCATCAGCTTCGCTTCAGCAAGAGCAAGAAACATTGACCACAGCGTGACCAATCCTGGATTCCATGCTCAACCGCATTTAAATATGTCTTAATCGTCATCTTCCCATGCGGGGTATGTAGCGCAAAATGAAGAGCAAAAGTATTCAGTAGCAGATTCACCATCAATAAAAATAAATGATACATACTCAAATTTAAATTCAAAATATCTTCAAAACAACACCATTGGTGTTAGAAAGTTACCAATGAACTTGCTTGTAAGACGTTTTAAATTTAAATATATGCAAGAAAGAGCAGCTGTACTTATTTTAATCCATCGTAGATCCACCACAGATGGTACATATGTAGATTGTTCCTACCTTTACATTTCCACCAGCAGCACCACTGAAAGCAAATGCATTTGAAAAACTCAATTGGCCAGCAGCTTGTGCTCCAGCTAACAGCATGTTGTCCAAAGAGAACTCTTTCAACTTATCTTTCAAAGAGTTCTTTAGCTTTGAAAGTCGCACTTTTTGCTCGGTATCTTTTGCCTCGTCTAAATTTTCCAAACCAGAGTCCATAGTTATCAAACTGTCCAAGTCTGTGTTGCTTGTAAAATCGCTAGAAAAACTGCGTGTTTCTGAGTCATCAATGGACGACGCTGGCATGCTTTCGAAAACATCGTTTTCATGACTGCTGGGAAGTTTCTCTAAATCGTTTTCAAGATCCGTCAGATCACGAACGATTTGCTGAAATAATGGAGAACGTTATGTCAAGGAGATGGCAAGTATTGCGTTACACTAATGTTTTTAAGTAATATTGATATATGGCAAGCGTCACTTCCGGCAAAATAGCGCGCTTTGATTGCTCGTAAACATTTTTCCTGGTCCATTATTTTCCGTAATAGACCACGGGCCAAAACTCATATACAGTCGAATGTAAACAACGAAATAAAAAACAATTACGATTTATTTTTTACTGACGATAAGTAGAAAAGTGAACTATGGTATATAAATTCTTTTTCTAGAATAATGAAAAGAAAGCGAAAGGAGGACGAGTTTAAGAGAAACTATGAAATGCATGATTTCAGACTGTATGCTTGGCTTTCGGATATGTAGCTAGATATATACGAGTGGACGAAAAGATTTCTTCTCGTTTTAAATTCGCTTTACATTGAATGAGAGTAAACTCTTTGTTGATTACGAGAGAGAGTAATTAGATCACCTCATGAAGAAGATCGTTATTTATAATTTCTTTCACACGTCTGACAACATATTCTGGCACATGATCACGTGCTGACATAGGAATTATTTGCGTCTTACACGACAAGAGAACCTAAAATACACCCACATTACTTTACTTTAGATTATATATTCTGTAAAATAATAATATTTTAGGCTTTACTAAGTTATGTTATGTTATGTTATGTTATTTTATGTTATTTTATGTTGATTTGTGATATGTTAGACATTAATGAGTACAATTCATTTCTGTAAGAAAGAAACAACACAAAACCTTTGAACACTGCATCCAGCTTCCCATAACAAACAGTTTGGCAACGCATTCTTTTGGTGGGATAAGGGAGAAACGAGTAACAAATCCTCCGGTTTGAAAAATGAAAATATATTGACGGTTGCAGCATACATCCTCAATATCTGCAAAAATATCATGTACGTAAAATGCAATATGAGAAACAATATATGAATAGTACTTATGCCTTCGATGAATAGTCTTCTAACGAAACGTATTTTTGGTAACTTTAAAAAAATATGTTTGCCCGTTGATCGACTTAATTTATTAGATTTAACAACAACGACGCTCTCGGACTTTATCCAAAATCGACGTGTTTCTTTTCATATAATATGTATATAATGTATGTACTATATTCATGGCATATCTTAGAAAACTAAAAACGCGAACTACTTTGAATCAATGTGTTATAAAATTAATGGGTATCATAATTTTTTGCATTTAACTGCTCAACAAAACTTTGCAAAAACAAATTGCACCTTTCCACATAAACGCCCTTGAGGCTAGATCGAAACATGATACCTAACAAAAAGCTACTCATTGGGAAAATAAAGCTTTCGCCTTTACCAAATAGCTGATTATTCCATAGCACCAGTTCTCCTTTTTTAGGGTCAACGATAATAATCCTATCCTTCGTCCACGTCAAAAGATAATCATCTCTGTAAAAGAAGAGCGTGTATCATCATATACAAAGAATATACCATCAAATAGACAACAAATGTGCGGAAACTAATTTTTCCGTTGACGTTAATTTGACTTAAGTATAAAAGAGGTCCTCCGTAGCTTTTTAATGATAAAAAGCAAACACGTTTTTCGTTAAGTTAAGATAACAACAAGCATGCTTACATATCAGCACGGTAGCGAGAAATCATACTGAGACGAAGAAACGTAGTTTATTGTAGCTCAATTATTTTTATGACATGTGAAAACTAATGACATGTTTGTAAATGTAGATCGTCCAGGTTGGTATAGTCCTGAGAAGGACTGTTTTTGTTGTTGTTGACTGACGTTTCGACAACAACAAAAACAGTCCTTCTCAGGACTATACCAACCTGGACGATCTACATTTACAAACGTGTAACGATACTCCCGGGTTCAAACCATTTACTTTATGTGAAAACTACATTATGTAGCTAGTTGTATCATGCAAAACAGGTAAACAAGAAAGAGTGAAATGTACATATATATGGTAAGAAACTATTTTCGTCCCAAAAACTGTTGTCAGGCGAGACGCAATGAAAAAGCCACTGCAAGCATAATCAGCTTTATGTTTCCTTTCTTCAACTAACTCGTAAAACACAAATACTTTAATTTGCTTATTTGTGAACATAAATATACGAAGATAAAAAACGCAAAGAATCTTCCAGCATATCAACCGACAATTCTTTTACTAAGACTTCCTAATACAAAAATAAACTACGTATATATATCACAGGAATCTATCGCACTCTTGGCGCCCAATAGTTTCTACATCTTAGACAATTCGACCGATAATGCTGCAATAAAAAATTACAAATAAAAAACCTGATAATGAGGAGTTTTGGAAAGTTGTTTACGTCGCATCGTTCAGAAACAGGTTTCTCGTCTCTAAATAAAGTTAACAATACGTAATTATAATAAACATAATGTGTATGAAACTGTGTTATCTCTACCACTCATCATCACTATAGAAAAGCTGGCTTTTCTTATTTTCACCACTCATAACGATTATATCAATGCTGGTATCTCCCCACAAATATGACCACAAAAGAAATGCTGGCATCGATTTTATCTATCACCGATGACTACTAAATAAACGATGTTATCGCCCATCTTTCCACTCATGACCAATATAGAAACACTGGTATTGCCCATTTCCACCACTCATGACCACTATAGAAATGATGGTATAGCCCATCTTCCCCACTTATGACCATTATAGAAACACTGGTATAGCCCATTTCCACCACTCGCTACAAATATAGAAATGATGGAATAGCCCATCTCCACCACTCATGGCCACAATAGAAATGATGGTATAACCCATCTCCACCACTCACTACCACTATTGAAAATCTCGCATTTCCCATCTCCTCCAATACGACCACTAAAAAAATTCTAGCATCGCCACTATCCACCACACATGACCACTATATAAATTCTGGTAACGCCCATCTTCACCAGTCATGATCACTACAAAAACACTGGTATCGCTTATCTCGATAACTTATGACTACCATACCATACCACTAAGGAAATGTTGATATTCAGCCGTTCTAGCTATAGCATTAAAGTAGCCACAACGAAAATAAGATTGTAAAAAATCGTTTCGGAAAGTCATTAGCACTTTCTTCAACAAAGCGTGTTAAAGAAGAAACAAATACTCAAAAAGTAAAAAAACGAAACAAAGACGATTTCTGTTTATTCTCGACGCTTTTATCGAACAGCTTTCCAGTTAGATAGGTAGATTAAAATATCAAACTATTGTTTTCTCACCCAGATACACGGCCAACCAAAGACGAGCTGGATGTTGCCAAAAGTTTCTTGTATTGTTGCGTGGATAACACCTGACCCGATTCATCAACCTTAAAAAGATATATGATAGTAAACTAAAACTAACAAAAAAAGAAGAAAACAAGAAGAAAAACTCATTTTTACAGAAAAATGCAGTTGATAACTGACAAAAATAAAAAATAACGCATCAATAAGAAACTGATAGTATACACGGATGCGTAATACCCTGAAAGTTCAAGAGACAATGAAAATTTGTAGTGTGACTGATGTCAGCTTCGATTTTTGAAATACGGTGACCACGATAAGCAAAGGCAAATCACGAGATGAGCTGGAACGAGTAGTCGGTCGTTAATTGATTGGAACTGACAGTAATCAATGCAGGAGTCGATATTTGTGGGTTATAACAAGAAAAAAACAACATGAAATTTGTGTTCTGCCATGTATACAAAAATATTCAAACCTTCCATATTCTCGCCCCAGGTCTCGCACAAAATGCATGTACTTCACCGTCGGTTTGCCGTAGTAAGCATGCTCCAAACTGGCCATCCCTATAAATAATGAAATTATGTAGAACTAATAAAAAGTATGATGGAGTACACAAGACAAATAGCAGAAACTTGTATTAAACAAACGGCCATTCAGAATATGCAATCACCTGTTTTTATTTTTGTTTGTTTATATAATTGTATTTTATATTTGTTTAATAAAAATAGTCAACAGATTCAGTAACTGTTTTCACAAACATTTGCATTACAAAATGAGGTGAAAATGATTACAACACATCGTTATTATTTCATAAATTTTAACATCGCGTTAGTGTTTATTTAGCAAATAGATAACATTTAACCGTTGTCCATACAGTTATAGATACACGGGTATGACGTCATTTGTGATAAAAACTAAAAAAGTGGCCACGAGATGAGTCAAATGACGTCTAACCCGTGTATCTATAACTGTAAAGACAACGGTTAAATGTTATCTATTTGTTTTATATAATAAATACAAAAAAATCCCAAATTAAACAGTCAAACAGTTGTTGTCTTTGTCCCCCAACACTCGGAGGATTGAAAAGTCTTGATTTTGCAAATATCACGCTTACGTGATCTATGCGGATTGAAGAAATGCTATTGGCTGGCTTAATCACGTGATAAAATGTAATTGGCTACCAAAATAAACAAGTAATGGCTGATTTGTTAAAATTTTCTTATCGGAGACGAAGTACAACTCAATGTTTCAAAACGGGTTTTTTCTTTTTCTTTTGCTCAAATACGCCTAATGCTTAAACTAGGTTTTCTTAATTTTTTATTTGCCCATTCAGGGATAAATTCAGGTAAATATTGAAATAAATTCGCCGCTCGATTGTCATTTCAAAACAAGAAATTTTTCGTGACGTCAATTCCGCGCTCTGTCCTCTTATAGATCATAGCTCTCGACCAATGAAAATGCTCAAATTATTCTGGGTATTATAAATAAAGAAATATTAAATTACTATCTATGATAGACGTATGTATCAAAGTTTTGACCGACAACAGAGTGATTACTTTATATTTAAAAACGCCTTAATAAATTACAAGATTAATAGTAACTGTTCAGTGGAAAATTAAAGACTGGCATCCCCAAGCTTTATATAAAAATTTTTATTGAAAATGGTCAGCATGTTCATAAAACATATGAGCTAAACTCAAAAACCTATTCAAGAGCGTTGAACTAGACAAAATTTCAAATCCAGTTAAACTAAGGCGACAACATAATACGGCAAAAGTTGCGGAAATAAGTACAATAAATAAAACATCCAAAAAAATCTTCGATTATTGAGAAAAAATTGTAAAAATTAAGGCCGGTCTGTTCATACGACAAAACTGCCATATTGTAAATAGAACTGAACAAACCTTTCCTTTGTCCCAATTGGTATAATACTGTCACTTGAAAAAAAAACATATTCACAGAGTTGACACATTGATGTAATAACAAACCTTTTGCAAGTAAATCGAACATCTACGTACTTTGTAGAAACGTTGCATATGCCAACTAGCTATATATAAATGTTGTAAATGCCCGACTTTTAATTATGGAAACGTCGGTCTTGTTATATTTATTGTAAAATTTTTTGCAAATGCTACCAAATAACGGAATGTCACGTGTTGGTCTTTCTTCTTGAAATGTAGCTAATAACGCAGTCACTATGCGTTATGGTGGATGCTTTATTACTCAAGCAATATATTTATAATAAATATAAATTGACATATATAGTGACCAGCAATAAGACCACAGACGAAAAATGCTGCCGAAATTCACAGTGGAAAGCTCTTACTTACCTACTGAGACTAAAATAAGAACATCTTTTTGTGTTTGATATGAGTAATCTCTCTTCAGCAAAGTCCTACGAATATTTTATCAAAACGTTAAAAGAAAAAACTTATTCATATATTCGCCGCAACGTGTTGTAGCTACGTAAAACTCCACACGTATTTGCAGAACCTTAAAGCCAAACAAAGCGAACCTTCGAAGCAAAGCAAAAATATATTTGCAATAAACACTTTCTTCGCCACTATATGAAGATGATTCAATTGATCAAGTTTTCAAACAAATTCTTGCACGGTTGTCATATCATTCAATAATATGACAATTTTACGAGATACATAACTAATACAGATGTCATTCATGAAGTTAGTCACAAACGATGATACTTTCATAAAACTATTAACTTACCAATTGCACTATAGGTGGACCTTCTTTAACAAGAGTTTGAACCCGACGTATCTTAAAGTGATATAACGAGAAAAAACCCATCAAGACTGGAAGCGGTTCGCCTCAATACTGATAAATGTACGTAAGGCTATGTAAGAAGTTATTATATTTTGTGTTTAGTGAATGATTTTTGACGTACTTATCGCATGTCAAAGTCATGAAAATTTGTTAATTAGAGTTTGAAATTAGTAGCTAATGCTACATATTTTTATCGTGACTTTGTTAGTTTAACAGAACACGTCAACATTTGCTGAATAAATATACTTGACGAATATTATGATCAAAAGAAAACGTAATAGACCCTGAGAAAAAGTAAATAGCAATCTATACATTTCATATCGCATCCTCATATCATGATACAATTCATTATCAATTAAGGTCATAGTGATGGAATGAATGCATTTAAAATAAGTATTACAGTGCAGTTTGTAGTGCTTTGCATATTTTATGGTACGTTTCACTGCATATTACGTAAATTGGATATTTTAAATTAAATTTCATGTATGGCACATTTCATGTTATATTTAAGAATTGCGTTGCAGTTCATGGTACATAACATGATAACTTTTACCATAAATATCTCATGTTAAATTTCATTGTACAATTCATGGTAAACTTTAAGGTACATTTCATTGCCCATTTCAAGCCAAATTTTATGGTACATTTCATGTCAAATTTTACTCACCGCAGCCATAAATAATTTCAAGCGAATTTTTTTACTTTCTCTTAATCTTAGTAGGAATAATTGAAAATTTTCATAAAAATATGGCATATTCTGCTGCGTTATAAAATTTATTTTTCCACTAAAAATGCTACTCTTTTGATCAGACCGTTAAGAAAATCTTAAAATGGCGAAACGCGGCAATTGTTATAGAAATAATTCATCTGGGTTTCTGAAATAATTGTTAAATCATTAAGTTAGTAAAAAGCTTCAACACGAAAATTTGCGGTATGTTTAATGGAAGTATCTATGTTTTTTGACAAAGCTCTTTTTGGTAGAATAAAGTAATTTCTCTATATCTACATAATTTATGTACAACTTAGGAAATAGGGTGGATAGTTACCTTCATACTTCTGCAAATGGTTAAGATTTGTAGAACGAGCTAATACTTTATTAAAATGTTTTTAAGTTAATAGTTAAGAGACGAGTCCATTGTACGTAAAAGAGAAAAGTCTACGTAACATGGGCAACTGAAAAAATGAAGATGCTCGCCTTTTATAATTTTTAATTTAAATCCGTGCATAAGTGATGCAATTGTACCTTTGTCGTGTAAATTTCCACACTAGAAACACATCCTCTATTGTCTCCAATAAACAGCTTAGAAGAAGATGAATGCCAGCAAAGACTTGTTATTGTAGCATTCTTGTGCTCGTCGTTTTTTCTGACGAGCTAAAAACAAAGGCAGACAATTAACTGAAATATGTAACTTGTTGCCATTCATACTAAAATAGACGCATCGCGATACTAAAATAGACGCGACTGTGTAGAGCATGAACATGTCTTGAAACTGAACGTTTCTCGCAGAATATTCCATCACTAAATGAACAACAAAATGAACATAATCCCCAATTTTTTTTCAAACAATGAGATCGCACAATCTTGAGCATTTTCCCACGAGAGAATTTTCACATTACGTTTCAATATGGCATCATCAGTTATTGTATAACTATTCAAAAGAGTGAACTGTGTCGACATTAGCCTCTGCTACAAATAACGTATCCATATGCCTGCAGCAAATAATCTATCTCTATCGGTCTCAATATGGATGCACGAATGCCCATTTTAACTTATCTACAACCTGTCAGCCAAACCCCAGTAAAGTTAACCTGTACATTGAGATGTGTGTGCTTTACTTTTTTATAATAATCAATCAATATAGTTCCACCTGTGACTTTTCTCTCTTCTCAAAATTGAGTTCCCATACAGCAACATGACCACAACTACAAGTGTTATCACAAAAGTTAGTAAAGAAAAAAGTTGCACGTCCATATATTGTGCAATGAAGAAGAGCTAATGTGTTTCACTGAACTTGGTAACAGGACAATGAATTTTGACTAATCAGAGACAATAAAACCGCAAGCTCTAACTTATTTTATGAACGAATTACTACGAGACCTCGTACAAACCTCAAGGATGCAGCTAAAAACCTTTCTTCATTTGAAAACAGAACATGAACAACACCAACATCCTTTAAAAGAGCAATATGCATAACTGTTCATTCAAATTTGGCCAGAAATTACACGTGTTTACTACTGGTTATCAGTAGCGGATCCAGCGTTTGTCAAAATAAATTATAGCTGCTCAATTTTAAATTCAAAGTTTACAGAAAAATACTATTGATTATGAATTCCTAAAGAATATAATTTTACCAATGGGATTACCTCTACGGTACTTAGAAATGTAACTACATGCCAAAATGTGCTGCAGTAATTTATTTTAACTTACGCTAGATCCGCCACTGCTGGTTATCTTGAACTTAGCAAATGTTTGCCAACGTTTGATAGCTAAATTACAGATATGGGATGAAAATTGAATGCACGAAGCCTCGTTATGTTTTACAAAACGGCCACGACTACTAAGAATTAAGGTGTGCGGGAACCATAAAAGTTGTTGAAGAATCATATGTTTATAGCTTATAGCATTGGAATCTGTACAAGTGGTGAAAAAAACGCGTTAATTAGAATAGGATGATGTCACAAGAAATTATCTCAAATAAAAAAGAGAGAAAATAAAAAATAGGAAAATCTCGTCCAGGAATAGTTGCCTTAAATATTCCCGTATGCTTTGAGCATTCATTTACACATATGAATGAGATATGTAAATAAGACATGTGTCAACAAAAAGCAGAACAATTTGTACATAAACTATATTGCATTGTTTCGCCAGGGTAACCAACACTATTTAATTCATGATTTTATGTCATGATTATTCTATTCTTGGTAACTAATTAGTGCTTTCGACTAGCACATCACCTGCACATAAATGTTCAAGATAAAGTAAATTAAAACATGAATGTAAATTCAGTTCACACAATAAATTTCATGTTTGTAAAACAATGAATACTTTTCAGTTGCTCATAAACATAAGAATACTTACAACTATGCGGCTTGTGTCCTGTTGAGGGAAGACCTACAGTGAAATTATTGCATAGTCAGTTGAGTCCATAATAAACATTACAAGTTTTGTTCAAATAGTCGGAGAATTAACAAAAAAAATGTTAAGATAATACAGAAGGTGTTAAGGAAAGTGTCTCATTTGAGGCAGGTATATAGAAAACAGCAAATGTCTGCAACAATTAAAGCAGGTATTTTGGGGGAGAGATATAAAAAACATTGTCCGCAATATGGCAAGTGTTCTTTAAGCCAGGTATTTACATAATAACAGATGTTAACAGGAAGGCATGTGTCTCTTTAGAAGCCGCTTTTAAAGAATTGCAAGTGCTATCCTTAAAGAAAGTGTTTATTCAAACTGTATATAGATAATGGCAGGCATCAGCTTCCAGAAGATGTTTCTTTAAACAACAGTGACTAGGATGATGGCAGGGGGTAGCATAAATGCAAGTGTTCTTTCAAGAAACATGTTTGCATGAAGTAAATTTTGACTACTAATCACAATGAACATGATATTGAAAACTATTTCCAGCTGAAGACATCATAAAATATAAAACAATGGCTGTATTGCATCGTTGCATGATGAAAAATTAGTCTGAATAAATTCTGAAAATGAATGGAATATCATTTGCTATTGATGATTTTGAAAGGTTTTTATATATATATTATAGTTGGATTTACCTCAAAGATAAAGAGTAGACACATTTTTAAGATAGGAAAAAGTTGTCTGCACAACATTTACAATGAAGTAATCACACCTACCTTGGCATTCAGAAAACAATAATGTCGGTGAGATGATCTTCGAAAAATGTGGATTCCACCTGCATTTGTGCCAAGAGCTAAATAATTTGCTGATACATGGAAACTGGTATACTAAAAAAACATAAGGCAAAATATGTTTAATATGCAAGGTGATTCAAAATACGCCTTCAAATACTTTAAATGAAGTATAAATTATCAACACCTAAATCATGTCTTTTAAATAACTATTTTCATTTTGTTTACATAAACAAAAAACTAATGTGGTTGATGTGCACATTATAGCATAGGCAGTCGCAATTTTTGTCCAACCATGTAAACTCATTGCAAATCAAAAGATTTCTATAAAAATGAATTTGATAATGCTTCAACTATTTAAATCACAGGACCTATTTGTGCAGGCTTGCTACATGTACTGGACATGCATGACATAATCATTAATTAACTCCAAAGGCAAGATCATGATTTTACATTCACAATTTAGACAATACACAAAAATACACATTGATCTATCTCAACAAAGTTGGATTTATAAAATCTTTCCATTCCATTGTACAATACTTTACATGATTAATGTTATTTTATTTTAATTTAATAATTTTTCAATTTAAGGAGTCCATGGTAACTTTAGGCAGCATCATGCAATTGGTGAGCCAACCAAAACAGTTAATTGAAATAAGTAAATGAAATAGTTAATAGCAGTTAAGTTATTTACAGCCATTAGCTTAATTATGACCATTGTGGCATGTGTTCATGTCGAAGCATTTATAACACGAGTGAAGCTGTAATGGAAAAATATAGAATAGACGTCTCTGTTTTTAAAATGAAAATTATGAACGCTTAATGCAATCAAAGTATCACGACCCTCAGATGTACTCTTTTGAAAATCTCTCGAGCAGGATGGACAGCATTACTGAGAAATGTGTGTTTCTACACATCTAAGTTTGGAATATAATTATTGACATAAATACACATAATCATCAAAATAATAGATATGATATCCATGTTTATAGTACATGTACCAGCAATTATTTGATTCTAATTAGATTGTTGTCGTTCTCATTCAAAATAAAACCCACAAGTACGATTCGTAAGGCACGACTTCAAAGTTAATTACATGATCAATGCTAACAGCATCACCAGATACGAACGCTTTCGAAATAAGAAAAGCTCGTACTACGAACGTACGAAGCAACTGCATTTTATTCGCAGTATTTATAATACCTTAACTCTAGTTGAGCCTTTCAAAGGAACATGTAATCCATCAACATCTTTATGTTTGAATAAGTAAAATGAAGGTTCCTTTTCAACGGCAATGTCCATATTCCTTACCGCTAATCCATCTCGATTATTATACTCGAATTTTGTAGTTAAGTTTATTGCTTAAGTGGCATTCGGTACTCATGTGACTGACGCGGAGAAGTCTGTCTCCAGACAGCTCGGGGTGGTTCGGTTAAATTAACTTTAGCCTTTACTCTTCCTGCAGTTCGTGATTTTTAATTTTACTCATAATTTTTTTTTTATTTATTCCTCCTTTCAGATTCTTGTCTTACCTGAGTTACTTTCCATGTATCAAATAAATTTTGCAACAACTTGCTTTCGGAATATATAATTTGGTCGTGCTAGCCAGACTGGTGCACAACCAAAAACGGGCGAATGCTGTCCCACGTGGTTTTAGGCAATGATTAAGGCAGATGTCACGCAGAAACGTAGTATAGTGTAAATAATATGAAGTATTTCAAAATGCAAATGAAGGATTAGAAGTAAATTTTGTTTTCGCTAATAACTGTTAACATTATAAAAAAATTTTGAAATTTGAGTGGGTTGAAAACACCTCAGTTTGAAAAATGTTTGGTCGTGCTCAACACAAGCAGCACGACCTCTAGCTACGCCAGTCAAGTGTTACAATTAGTAAAAATAAGGTCGTTTTAATGCGTCAAAACAACTACTTCGAATTTAATTGTCCCTCCAAAGGCAAAAAAGCACATAATACATTTAAGTATTATTCTCATACGAAGATAGATGTAGTTTATTGATTGAAGTAGTGTCATCTCTATAAAAATCTGACACCAATCACATTTTCAAAGTTTTCGTTAACTCTTCGATGTAATTATAACATTCTTTCCATCATTCAGCTTCACGTGAATCATGAAAAAAGATAATTCTGGTTTCCTGGAGAACTTGTTTTCTCAGTATCATATGAAAATCACTTCATAAATTCTTTGGATGTTAATTGCATGCAAAACATTAAATCCATTATATCATATTTCAAAAGTTAATTAAGTTAGGTTATTTTGCAAAATCATTAAAATCATTTGGAAGACCTTGACAGCAGGGCCGGATTAACATTTTGCGGGGCCCATGGCATAATATCAGTGCGGGGCCCTTGCCCCAACCCCTGTGTTTACCAAAATGCAATAAAAAACTGTTTTTTTAACTCAAACAATAAAACCTCGTATTTTGGCCTATTTAAACCAATACGTTGAATATAATTCCAATTTACAATCACGTACGTATACCAAACATTACATACCAATATTAAACAGACTAATATAATAAACACGATAAAAAAAGACGTAAAAGGTTTTACTGTGCAGAAGTGTTAAGCCTTATAAACGTTATGCTTACGGGATTTCATAAGAGCAAAATCATTAATCAGGGATGACATATCAATACTACGCAGAACATCATTTTCAATACTCAGGCTATTTAGTCGTTCCTGTGTCATGGTTGAACGAAGATGATCCTTTATTAGCTTTAATTTCGAGAACGACCGTTCACCAGAACAATTTGATATCATCATACTGAGGTAAATGCGAAACACAATAACAGTGTTTGGAAATACAGTTTCCAGGTTATTTCCCACAAGAAACCTGTATATACGCAGTTCTAGGAGTCTACGTTCACTTTGATGTCGTCATCATCATCGGATGTTACATCGATGTCATGGTCTTCACTAGGCTGAGCAGAAGATCCAATTCGAGCTGAAGAATAATGAGGTGCAGCTGCATGACTCGCATCTAATGCTCTTTTCACGAATTCTGTGTTGAGAAAGCTAGAAAACTGGAGCAATTCATCACCCAAATTGACTTCGAGGTCAGTGGAAAATGCTTTTTGCAATCTTTGTGCGTTTTCCAACACGTCTTCAGCTGGCAGATCTGTAAGCTTTCGCAGAAAGCCAAACTTTTCAGCAATGTTGATGTAAGCACTCAGTCGTTTTCGCAACTCAGCATCCAGACTATCGATTATTACAAGGAAAGTACCTGTGCGAAACTTGTCGGCTGGAATCTGCAACAAATCAGGTGCTGATCCTGGCTCGTCGTTACGACGATTTCGTTTACGCACGCACTTGATCTCTTCTTTATATTGATCACATTCACTGAGCTCCTTTCCTTTGGCTTCAAATTCTTCAAATCTGGTTCGCAGCGAAAGGACAAACTCAATCAGCGATTCATATAATGCAACAGCAGTGTTGAGATCTTGATCAGCTAATTGCAGGATCTGACTTGTTCTCTGAAATCGTTGCCAGATTTGATGCCATAATGCTGCCAGAATTCCAATTTCAAGCTGGGCCATATCAGACGCAAGACTATTGGCTTCATTTTTGGCTTCAGGCTTCTCATCTTCATCATCATGGATCTCGTCTAAAGCAGCATTAATTTCCTCGTATCCTATTACTAGAGCTTTTGTAGCATCTGCACGTGCTGACCATCGAGTATCAGACATACGTTTAACCGTTGGAAGTCTCTTGCTTGAAAGTTGGTCGTTTAAAACTTTCCAACGATGCGTTGAAGCAGCAAAGAAAGAGTACAATCGTTGGAGGAAGTTGAAGAATCTTGATGCTTCTTGACAACAACTGGCAGATGATTGTCCAACAAGATTAAGGGAATGTGCGACGCAGGGTATGTACTGTGCTAGGCTACAATGTTGCTGAATAATGGCCTGCATACCATTATATTTCCCACTCATATTGCTTGCATTGTCATATGACTGGCCGCGGCAATCCGAAATATTTATATTATTGGTTTTCAAATAATCTAGTAGCCTTTCAGCTAGCAATTTTCCGCTATGTCCACGTATGTTAAGGAAAGATACAAATCGTTCGACAGGACCAGAGGGTAAAACGTATCGAAGAATGCATGTCAGTTGATCAACGTGGGAAATATCTGGGGTAGAGTCTACACAGACGGAGAAATACTTTGCAGCTTTAACTTCTGTAAAAATCTGCTTGCGAACTCGAGTTGCCATCAGTTGGATGAATTCCTCGCAAATGGTCTTTGAGAGATAGGATGTGTGACCCTTTCCCTTATTTGCATTACGGTTGATGTGTTGCGCTAGAAATGGATCGAACATCGATATAAGTTCTAATGTTCCCAGGTAGTTACCGTTTTTTGGCGATCCAACGATCTCATCAGTGCCGCGAAATGGTAAACTTCGCTCGGAAAAGTAACGGATGGTTTCTGTTACCCGCTCAAGTACTGCCCGCCAATAGTTACGCTCATCACTGGCCTGTGTGACCAGTTCTGAATCAATACGGCAGCCAGCATCGCTACGTTGGAGTAGCTGAAAAACAGCATTACGGTGCGCTGAACTTTTCTCATGTCGTGGAATTGACTGGGATGCGCGTTTCCAGTCATTATAACCTTGTTTTCCAAAAACGATGCTGTCAGTCATGAGTTTACACGCAAAACAGAACACGACATGTTTGGATGGTGAATAGCAGAGCCAGTTTCGAGGATGTTGCTGTTTTGTAAGCTCATGTGTGTACGTGAACAAAGTTTTTTGACATCGTCTATTGTAAGCATCTCCCTCATATCTTGTTGATGTTGCGCTGAAATCGGCATCGGAATTTCTGCACTGACTACTGCCTTGACCTGCCCAGTGCTCTCTCATATTGTCAGAAATATCAGTAGGCCATAATCCCAAATCACAAGAGTATCCATCACTGTTATCAGTGGAAATGGACGTATCACCAGATGTCAACTCCTTGGATGTGTCGCTGGTGTCGGGTTCCTCAACTGCTTCTGCCATTGTTGTCATCGCTTCATCTGCAGCAGTCAGCTCAGAAGAACCTTCATCAGCCTTCGGAGGAAACAGTTCCGATATTTTCGGCATTTTACTTAAAACTTTACTTTCCCGTAAAATTCGTTCATCCTTTGCCTTTCGTTTTGCTGCTCCAGATGCATATTTGCGATTTTTGTCGCGGTCGCGGTTGCCACCCCCACTGGTGGAACTCATTCTTTAATTGTTAACTATATTATAGCAATTAGCAAACTTAAAAATTTGAAAGTGACGTTTTAGTAATATTTACTTTCACAAAAACATAGAAGGACGATTTGACGGTTTACTATCGCACATACAGAATTGTGAGAAAATAAATCAAACACGCATACGCTTCTTGGGCCTTTGGAGCTGCCAGGAATTCAGGACATTTTGAAATATATTGTTATTTCATAAAATCGGCAATTTATATATGAGGAATAAACATGTAACCAAGGAAACGTAAGAATGCAGACGGCTCACGGCAGTTAGTAAATCATCAAAACTTACCAAGCGTCGCCGTCACTGCTTCAGCATTCAGCCAAATACCTTGAATATCTCCAGTTTGAATTTGTCAACAACACTTACAAGTCACAAACAACAGCAATCTCAAAAATTATCAAAATGAATCGAAAAAAGTCTGATAGTATTCAATACGGTTTGAAAGTCGAGACTACAACAATATCGAGTTGCAATCCTACTGCCAGACGAAAGACTTTATGTAATATAATAGGTGTAACGATACAAATGGATCTCCTATCCCATTGCAAAATATAGCCTATATTTTGCCAGTGAATCATTGATACTTGCAGTGTTACCGTTTTTGGAATTGGGCCTCACGCTTTTATATTTCAATTAGTCTTGGCCGTTTCGTTTTATTTCCCTTTTTTTCTTTTTCCAAAGGCAAGCGCGGGGCCCCCAGAAGCGCGGGGCCCGCGGCATATGCCGCTTCTGCCATGTGGTTAATCCGCCCCTGCTTGACAGTACCCTACCTTATACAACACAAGGATAAAAATTGCAGTGCGTTTGTACAGAAAAAGATCTGGCGACTTACCAATACGCTTTAGTTTTACGCCATATCATATTTTCAGTGAAACAGCGGGCATAAGTTTGAGTAGAAGACTAATCTTACTTTATCAAACATGACGACAAAAAACTCAATAGTGGCTGAAGCAATGCTGGGAGATAAATTGGCAAGATGAGGTACAAATACAAGACTATTTAGTTTTCAGCATGGTCTTCAGAGAAGTAATTTTCTCAACAGTTATTATGGGAGTAAAATATTTACCCGATCTGAAGTATCTTCTTTACTGGATCAAGAAATAGCTCAGAAAACAACGGCAAGTGAAGATATTTTTGAGGAACAACAACTTAACTAGAAAATTTTGTAAATAATGAATATGAAGAGAGCGAGAAATCTTGGCAAAGTAAGAATCACTTCAGTGGTAATTTTGATTGATGAAGTGAGGATTTAACCTTGCCTATGGGATTTAAAGTCCAAAGGGTTCAAGAACAGTGTTATGAAGAAACAAGTATGGTTAAAGATTGCAGAAAAACTCCATGTGCAAGGTAAAATGGTATGTTTTTTTAGTAAGTTGAAGTCCTATGTTTGTGAAAGCGTATGCTTTGACATATATGACAAGAATAATATCCATCATGTTTATTATTGCAACCAGAAATGAGAAATCTCCCATGTTATTACCTTGCTACATTTACATTCAGTTTTATGTATTTGTGCCACTGTATTTACATACCTAGCTTTCTTAAAAATACAGATCAAATACAGGTCATGCACAGTCCATAACATAACTTCGCATGATATTAATTCTTTGCTTATGTATATATAATAAACTCATGTGGTAGAAGTTTTTATTTTTTTCACCATTACACCAAATGTATTTGAAAGTATTGCACACTACGTGTCCTTTTAATATTTTATATTTGTTGTTACGAACGTCCCGACTAATAATAAAATGGCCGCTTTTGGTTCAATTGCTCGTAACAAAATGAGTAAAACCTTGTGGAGAAGTTGTTGTCAATTCTTAAGATATTTATTCAATATATTAATAATTTTGATATAATCGTTATAATATAAATGTTTAAATGTTCAAACTTATCTAAGACAACTGCTTTCAGTGACTCTTTCGTTGATGGATTGGATATATATCTGGATTCTTTGGTTATCTTCGTAAATAGTTCGTTTTCTTTTACATGAGCTTTCTTCTGATGAGGACTTCTACTAAGCACCAACATAACTACAACTTTCGATTCTCGGCTTATATGTGATTGCACAATGACGTACGATTAACCGCTTGTGCGTAAACTGTGGTCAGTTGATTAACCATGTGTCCTGTACATTGTCTGTGGTCAGTAGGTTGACAACGTCCTATACGTAAGCTTTTCCTGTTATTGTGGCTAACATACACATGCATGTATGAGTAAGGCATTTTACAAAGAGCACTAATTAGTTAAATAATAATATATTTAAGTATATAACAATAATAAGTATAATTTACATGATTATGGATTATCATGTAACATCGTAATCAGTTTGCTTCGAAAACAATGATTTGATGTTTTACACATGTGTTTTGAGAAATTGAACTTGAAAACGAGTTTAAAAGATTAAGAAAAAATTTCCGAAAGTGTCTGAAAAAGAAAGAATTAGAATCACGATCTAGAGCGAAAGGGAAAAGGTTACCTACGTGTCCCTTTTTGCAGAATTGAGTTTCCTTGAATACAGAGTTTCAAACACAAAGTCAGTGAGCAATGTGAAAGAATCAACACAATCCGATAAAAGATCATCTTCACCATTTGATGTTACACAATTGTCCTCAAGCAGTTCAAATGATATAGCAAGCACAAGCTTCACCTGAAATGAGAAAACCTTACTCAAGCCAAACATCCTAAGGAATCATAGCACCTTCAGTGAAGAAAGAGAGTTGTCTGTTATCTTCGCCAAATCGCTTCATACAACGTTGATCATGTCTTCTTTTTATCAGCAAGAGGAATTTTATTCGTTTACCCAACTCTATAAAGGTAGAATGGTAAACGACTGACTATTTTTGTACGCGTATCGTCTCGCCAAGTAGCTCTTCTTATCGGCTTTTGTCCTGATACGTGTATCAAAGTAGTTACGTGGAAATGATTACAATCATAGCCATAGTTATGTTGCAATTTTTGTCAAATATTGAAATAAATTGAAAGCATTTTCGGGACTACTTGGATATTTTAGTTGTTCATTGTCCATTACGTAGTAAAAATACTCTTGGTATTCATTAAATTACACATAACTCGCCTGCTATATTCATATATTGCATCATGTATACGAAAACCAAAGGGGTTTAATTTGTCGTACCCTACAACTCAAACTATATTTAATGTATTATCAACATGTTAATACAGTGGTTCACAATATTTTGGTTGTTGTCTAATTTTAATTATGATTTATGAATTATAAAGCATACAAACCATCGACATGCTAGCAATAATTTGGACCAGATAATGTATATTTTCTCCGCCACAACTTCTTAGCCTTACTTGAATTACTTGCTTCTGGATCCAATTCCCTGAGGATTTGGGCAGCCAGATCCTATGGCGGATGAATATGGATAAAGTAATGTAGGAGCATGCCAGATTGTTCAGTAACCTGGCAATTCTCCAGAATTAGCCATCTCAATTCCAATGAAATATCTCACTCTTTCTACGTCAACAGTGCCCTTTCTCTTAAGACCATATTCACGAAGTTTCCTTCTTAAAGTTCGCAAACTTATTTTCATATCATGTTTTTTTTTAAAAAAATCAAGGAAAGGATCATATTTAAACCACAATAAAAATCATGCTTGATAATTTCTTTCTCGGTAGCTTTTACGTTACCTAGAATCGTTAAGACAAAAAATTTACTATATTTATTATAACATTCGCACCTGGATTAAAAGTATAAAGATTGGGGTAAAATTCAATGACCACTTGACATGAGTCATTTCACATAAAAAGCAATTGCTCTGCTAAAAAGTACATTGATATAAAAGCATTAAAATTAAATGCTTACCGATAGTAATCCTGTTTCCATATGCCGAGTAGAAGTTTGCGAAGTCGGGGAAACTCTTTGCATTTGTTGCTCGTTTTCATACTTGACAATTGCCTGCAAGCATTTTCGTTGTGAAAGTAGAATCATCCGCCATTACGATTGCAAATGTTTCAAATGATACGTCATAAGAAATTTGACAGGGGGTAAATTTAAATTCTACGTCTGACGTAAGATCATGGCGGAAATTGGAATCTTGAAGTAAATATATCTGGCGTAATTCCACTCGGTGAATGGTAAGTTGTTGTTTTCTCCTGTTTGTAATATACATAAAGTTACTTTATAAACCACAATGCTCCCACGTTTCAGGTGTAATTGTCAATGCTGTCATACCGATTTGTTAGAAGGCGCATTAGAGTACAGATGCTGTAAGGAAATAGGACCAGCTTTGCAGAAAATGACATTCGATGGCAGCATTGAGAAAATGCATAACACAGCATGCATAACACAGCATGCCAAATTATCATGCATAACACAGCATGCCAAATTATCATGCATAACACAGCATGCCAAATTTGGGCCTTTAGTTCATGAGGCTGTCCTTGAAAACGTCGGGCCACTATTGAGAGGTAGGAATGGACGTGCTTATTGCCGCCAAGCATCACAATCATTAAATATGTAAGATTGTAAATTGTATGAGAAACAATGTTATCATCAACATTGTTTCATCAACAATAATTAGTCCAACCTTTTTATTTACTTCAGGTACTTGAGAGCTGTGGCATACAGATGGTTGATGCGATGGTTTTGAGGGTCTATGGGATGGGAGAATACTCGGCCTTTACCTGCTTGTGTTTACTACTTTATTCGGAAAGCATATCCAAGTGGTAACACAAAAGGTTACATACCATCAGAGGGGCGATGATGAAAAGGTCTTTTAACTTGTGCACTGTAGAGACTGTTGACCTTCTTTGCTGAGTTTAGAATGGTCAGGAAATATGCCTAGATGAAAACCAAATAGGAGATACATGGATGCACTATATAAGTTGACATGCAGTTTAATTGTTTGAAACAAGTTATTGCTCAGTTGTCATGCACTGGTTAGAGCTAATGTGATTTTGTAGTGTGGACAGAAAAAGACTTGTTTTCATAAATTCGTTTAACAAGCTTA